CGCGACATTCCACCTATTGCGTCATCGGTAAAATTGTTCCTAGGTGGTAAAGAAAGGAGGTTTAGTTTTTTAAGAAAGGTAAGGTAGTGGGAAGAGAATATTTCAAAACTGTCTCAAGATTGTTTAAACTAATATCCATTCATACTTGGCTTAAAATACCTACTTTGTATGGTCACCATTTCAATGAAAGGTATTAAAGGAAAGGTATTAAAGTTCGTTGGAGTTGATTTTGCAAAAGATAAATTTGAAGTTTTATAATGGTCAAGATATTCTGTCAGATACTAATGCAGAGTGAAAACATTGGTCTAAGCCAAACTTTTTGAACCAGGTGGCTCTCAAATTGTTTTGAGTTCTAATAGGTTGGAGATTCCAACAATTTAGGAACTTGATTTGTTGTTTCATCTGATAAAATGTTTTGTCAACCTTAACCGTTATATAAATATGTTAATTGTTAATCAAGGATAACAATGTTATGTGCTGACCTAGGAGAATGGGCAGCAATCAGCATTAACCAAATGCCATTTGTAATAGGACTGCCAATTAAAGGTCGACGTTAGATAGATAAGACTTTTCACTCATGCACCGTTCCCTTCCAGAAATTCGGTAACACATTCCAATAGCTTAGAGAAAAACGAAAAAGTCAACATGTCACAGCATACTGAGTACTGACCCCAAGTGATTTCTGAGCTGTTCACGATCTTCTGGACGAAAGTGAGAGGTGTTTTACGAACCAGAGCATCTCAATGACCTTCTCAGGGCCATCAGCTGATCTGCTGATTTGGGAAAGCGTAACAGACGATGACTGAGATAAGTGAAGAGTCTGGAGCCTACATCAGCTGGAGGAGTAGCGTGAGGGGGGTGGGGGTGACAGAGTAATGTTATTGTCCTACATTCCGACAAAGAGAAAGAGAGATCTTGTTGAAGGTGTGATGCATCAACAATGACTTGGAGTGTCTCCTCATGGTGGAGACGTGAAGGTGTCAGTGGGAGGTTCTTTTTCAAATACAGTTTCACCGCCTGGATAGTAGTAACAAATCTAATCAGTTACTATTAATTTTTACTTGCATCAAATAACAGTTATTTCATCACTAGAATCTTAGAACATAAATGGCATGGATAATAATTATAAACGAGGGACGTCTCTGTCTTGAATGTCTATAACAATATAGCCGTGCTAGTTGGTTTGCATGCTTTCTTACAGTTCCAATTAAATAACTTATTAATACAACATTTTTACTTTCGGGCCAGTGACGTCATATCAATTCTGCAACTATACTCCGTTCAAACAGCCGTGGCACCTGACGGATTAGGAGACCCCATGGAAACTCCTTGGGCATCCTAATCCCTCAGGTGCCACGGCTGTTTGAACGGAGTATATATACTCGCTGCAAAGGATACTCAAAGCAACTAGTATTTCAAACATAAAATGGATTTCTTTTCTATTTGCCGTTTACTGACGACTAGACGATTCCACGGATGGTAGAGATGGCAGTCATTACAGTAACGGCTCGAGGCATGCGACATTTGAAATGGAGGCCTATAATGCCACAACCATATCAGGGTCAAACGGAGACTTGTGCATGCTCCACGCTCTGATACGTTGTTGTTGTTGTTGTTTTAGTTATTGTTGCTGTTTTAGTTATTGTTTTTGTTAGCGGTGACGTTCATTTGGTGTATTAGTCAGGGTCTTCGTTCAATTGTTGATTTGTTGCAATCTTTTCCTTAGCACCATAAAAGTAAATATATTGAAATTTCTTTGGCTTGTGCAGCAGCAGTATAATGTGTTATCGGTACTACTTTTTGTCGATGTTATTGCAGTCAGGGTTTTATTTGTTTCAGTTTTCCCTGACTTCTCTGTAGGTTCATAAAGTAGTCATTCTAGAATTTTCTATACCATACGCAGCAGCTCAAAACAAAGAATCACCAAAGCAATAGCACTTTTCAATAGTGAAGTAACACAAAGCATGGTCATTTGTGTATTGCGTGAATAGTTCATAATACCAAACTAAGTTCTTGAAAGACAGAATATTTTACGAGTACAGTACTTTGTAATCAAACCAAACCGTCGTACACAGTTTAAAATCGGCGACTTTCGCAACGAGTTAAACAGCCAGGAGCGGCAAGCCTGGGTTGACCAAATCCAAAACCGCAGTTCCGACCACATAATACCTCTCATGATTGTGTGGTTCCGCGGCATTGACTTGTGCGGTTCGCGGTTCAACTGAAGCTCATAACCGTTAGACATCGTAGATGCGCCTCATCTGCTGCGATTAATCTTGCGAAATACATTGTAACTGGCGGGGCCTTGAACTCCGAGTCCCTTCTCTGTTTCGCAACAGAAAAGTGAGTAAAGTTTTAGACTATAAAACGTTGAATCCGTATGAGAACTCAACTGTTGTTTGAATGACTTCATATCATATTGTTTCCTTGTTAGAGGAACTGTTTTGATCGTCCTAAAGAACTGGATTTTGTGAAGGACCAAAAACTCTTACTGCAAGTGGGAATCATGAAAGTAAAAAATATAGGGCAAGGATTGGTGGATTGGTCGATCATGTCTTTAGGGAATCTAACCTAATCCTCTACTCCTAGGATGACCTTCTAATCAAACTTAGCCATCTACTGAACCCTTAACTTCTACTCCAACTTAGCCTTATACTCCAACCTAATCTTCTACTCAAACCTAATCTCCTCTCTAACCTTCTACTCAAACTTAGCCATCTACTGAACCCTAAAATTCTTTCCTCAAACTTAGCCTTATACTCCAACCTAGCCTTCTTCTCCAACCTAACCTTCTACTCCATCCTAGACTTCTTCTCCAACCTAACCTTTCTCTACAACCTAACCTGCTAACAGAGAGGAGGCTATCTCCTACCCCTCTACGAAACACTCTGCACAACACTCACGCTTGAAACTAAAAATCGAATTAAATAACAACCTGTAGTGAGCCTGAAGCCGTCTACGTACCCAGGAGGCACGACGTGGAAGTTCTATTCTTCACCAGTTGCGACACAGCGTTGCCCAACCTCCGCCGGCGGCCTCAGGAGTCCCTTCGGTTTGACAGCCATTAATTAACTATTGTGCTGTGTCTGGACGAGCAGAGCGACTGACATGGAGTGGGCAATTGTCTATTGCATCATGGGTCGTCCGAGTGGCTCCATTCTGGTACTTCAATGAGTGGGGCACCAGATTTAAAATGGTAGTTTCACTTTACTAGGTGATTTCATAAAGTTCTTAAAGTAAAATGAAACGTTTTCTTACTTCCAATAACATTGTCGTAATTTCATTGTTCATTATTGACTAGGCAGCTTAGATCTCTCGCGTTTGCTGGTGAGCCTCTTCAGTGCACCCTTCTCTAGGTAAAGCCACTCATCTTCTACTTGCTATGCTGTTCTTACTTAAGCGTTGAATCTTCTTATGATGATGACATACCGTTTCCTTTGTGGTATAATATCAAGTGAGGACCACCTTTGCTAAACTAGTGGTTGTTATTTCGTTGTGAGTGGCAAGTGTTCGATACTCAGACGTACTCAGAAAAATTTTAAGGGTTTGGGCCGATCTCCAGTGTCAGTCGGCGAGTCGACAGGTATGCACACAAAATATGTCAAAATCGTAGACATAAACAACAAATAAACCCACTTAACATCAATAAATCAACTTAATTTAAGTGTGTGCAGGTATGCATCTTGTATAGTAACCTTTTACAAATGAATTTTCCAAAACTGCAAATCGCTCCCAAGGTAATGTGTTCAGTAAATATACAGTTGGAGATACGAAATTGGAGGCTTCTAAGTGCAGAAGCACCAACATCATATTATAAATGTTTTTTATGATAGGTCAGTTTTGGTTTAGAATCTTCAACAATAGCTGGATTTAGTGTTTAGTCTGATCCAAATAATCAATGAGGCAACTTTTACAACACACTACCCCCAACGTAATACAGTATTTCTCACAACTCTAACTGCCTTTTGCATTTCCACGCCTGCGTAATGCGCTATGTAGAGCAATGCGCCGCCATTGTCGTCTGGTAGGAGATAACTCCACATGCGCAATATGCCCCATTGAATGCTAATCAGGCGCATGCGTAGTACTTGGTCAGCACGGCGCGTCTGCGCATGCGTAGTACTTGGTCTGCGTCTGCGTCTGACCTTGGCCCACTACAGCAGCTGGAGTCGCGCTTTGCCACAACTTGGCGCTTTCATCCGAGGAATGTCCCGCGAAGCTGCGTGACTGGAAGATAAAACGTCATTTGCGCGTTTTCTAGAGGAAATCCTCTTGACACGGAATGGGATTTGGAGTAGAATCCAATTTTGCTTCTGTATTTTTTTCTAGCTTTGAAATTTGCTTGGAATGTTTCTCCTTGCCAATTATTACTATTTACCAATTAGGTTAGGGACACGTATATTTTAACCTACATGAGTGAAAGATAGGTGTCAAAAGAAGTGTCCAGATTCAGGCCATCTTTAATAGCTTTTCTTATGATCGAACGCGATTCTGTCAGAAACTCTGCTATATTACCTTAATGTATTGTACACACTTTCACACAATCTACAAGAGGGATACTTTTGAAAGTATTTTGAAGAATATTATAAATAAGTATCATAAAATACTGCAAGGTTAAATAAAGACTCTACAGTCTGATGTGGCCTATCACGTGCTCTCTCTAAACTCTCAAGTAATGCCTACAAAGACTTTAAGAGGAGAGTCGTATATTGTATCCCAGAAAACATACTACTAGTAGTATGTTTTCTGTGACTGTATGTAGATATATAAAATATGCATCCTCAGTCATAGTTGACTGTTGAATCTTGTTCTTCGAGAAATTACTAACATTTTGACGAGGACTATGTCACATTGGTTAACCTTGAAGAGACTGTTTATTAGGTTATGTTTCGTTGAGTTCTCTCACCCGCTAACATGTTCTCCCTCTCATCACATATTTATAAGCTTTGTATACGATATGTGACTGACTGTTTTGACTAATATTTGTTTGCGTGTTGCAGGGATCGGACCCCCGAGTGGCGACATGTCGCGGCAAGCTGCAGAACAAACGAAGCAAACTCAACCAAGAGATCAACAAAGAGTTGCGACTCAGGGCTGGTGCGGAGAATCTCTTCAAGTAAGTACAAACAAACTTCATGTATGTAGTTTTTCACTAGAGTATAACCCCTAAATGATTAAGCCACTTTAAGGTAGCAACACAAATCCTATTATCATTCTAAAATAGGTCCACTACACTGGATAAAGGCTACAGACAGGTTTTGCAGTTTTTTTTAGGACGCTAAGCACGAGCCCGGGATTGTTTTTCACATTACTTCAGGCTATACCTAGGTACTGCGGCATTATCACTTAGATAAAATCCATTGGTGATTTGGCGGGATTTGAACCCGGGGCCTCAAGGACTGAAGTTCTCCGCAGTAACCACTACACCAGTTCGCTCCCCGTTTCGTAGAGTGCCCCACATATAAAACTATCTACAAGCAAAGAAAAAAAAACAAATATTAAAATTGAATCATTTTTTCACAGCGTGTGAAAACAGTTGAAATCACTCTAGTTGAAATTCAGTTTAACGACAACAAGCGAGCGTACGCACCACATGTGGCCTGAGTAACATTCCAGCGTTTATGATCAGCGGCGTCGAGTATTGTGAACAGTTTATGACAGGGAGAAGCGTCATAAATATTACCTACGATTTTCAATAGTCATAGATGTAAATTACCCTCACATGACTTTATGCACTATAATTCTGTAGCGAATATCAATTTAATATGCGTCAGCTTAGTTAAGTGCAGGTCTGGTAGCGATGAACGCCAAAGGACTTTTAAATTAGTTGGTTGTTGAATTTTCTTTTCAATGTTAGCCCATGAAAGTAGCCTATAATACAACAAAAAATATTATATAATACAAACATTGAAATTGTACACCATGATGAATGTGTGCAATGTTTTGACCACTTTAATTCATCAAGTTCATCTAATGAATGTAGTACTGAAATTTCTAAAGAAACAACCAATTGTTAAAAATTGATAGAAACGATTCTAAAACATCTACGACTCGATTTAAATCTTCCAAGTGATGTGAAATAAAACTACTACTTTAAAACATCTTCTAATTAAATTCAGCTAATTACTTCGACGACCCGATTGTTAAAATTGATAGAAACGATCCTAAAACATCTAAGACTCGATTTAAATCTTCCAAGCGATGTGAAATAAAACTACTACTTTACAACCTCTACTAATTAAATTCAGTTAATCACTTCTACGACCCCAGCGTAGGTTGTGCATGACCTGTGGTGAAGTCAAGATGACGAAACTCCAAATCAAGGACCTTCTAAGTCATTAGGAACTTTCACCAAAACAAAAGCCATTGTCAATCAAAAACAGCTAGCAGGTTGGTATTGCAGTAGTACTGTGTTGAAAATTCATTCTTGTAGATAAATATTGTTTAGATTTGTCTGCCAACGTTTGTGGTATTCGTAGTCAATGGCTACTGTTGATATGAGACGAACTGCTCGTGTATTTTTTTCCTGATACGAAATGTTTACACCCTTAAAGATATCAACTAAAGGTGTCACCACACATACTACAGTAGAAACACATGTTACAATAGCAATGGCAACCGTAGTCAATGTCTGCTGTTGATTTTGAAGATGAGTTAGTCTATTTTCGACCTCATGTAAAGATAGTGTTTGCGCCTCCAAACATTTAAGCGGATGCAGCCAGCAGCAGAGTCACCACATCAAACACACATGATACAATAGCAATTGCACACAAATGGTATCCATAGTCAATGTCTGCTGTTGATTTTAAGGTGAGTTAGTCTATTTTCGACATCATGTAAAGATAGGTTTTGCACCTTCAAACATTCCAACCTATGCAGCAGCAGCGTCACCACATCAAACTCACATGATGCATTACAATAGCAATTGCACACAAATGGTATCCATAGTCAATGTCTGCTTATGCAGATGCTCCGTTTGTCTTTAATACCCAGTATCCCACACGGTCGTCACGCTCGATCGAGCGAGAATCTTCGCATTCCTTCGTGAACGGGAAACGATACAGCCTGACGTTGGAAATGCTAATTCATCCGATTGATGGCCTCTCAGGGTAAACTCGCGGTTGGCAAACAGATTACGAAAATTGACGGTTGCCTTCTCCACTTTGTATTCTCGTTAGGTATCATTGGCTTTCTTCGTTTGTTGCTCAGGATACAGATGAAGCATTCGATTGTACACAAGTGTCTAGAACCAGTCAGTGGTGTCTAGGGAAAACTCCAACACCGCCCCTTCGACCTCATGTACTACAACGCTCATGGTGGAGGAAGATCCTTTTCCCTGTACGATAGGGATGCTCTTAATTTCTCGTCACAAATATATTTTCCACACAACATACTAGAGCTGAAAACGCACAGTCGTTCACAAGGAAGTGTTCTCTATACCCTAATTTCCGTGGTTTGCTAGGAAAAGGTTACTGTGAACTTTAGTCATGATTAAGGTGGAGGGTGGAGATAGTTCTTCAGTTATGTTGAGACTGAGAGGGTTCAATTTTAAAATCACATCTAACCTCCAAGAGATTGAAATGGAATGCCGAAGAATAGATCCGGCTAGGTCTAACCGCCTTTGTTTCGAGGAACCCAAAGTCCTTCATGACTTGCCGACTAAACTAAGCCCATTCTTTTCCATACTGACACGAAAATTTGTAAGAAATTTACTTAGAAGTTAACCTAGAATACATTGCCTCCCAAGAGAACCTGACTGAACCAAAACCATTTACCTCGTGAGCCAATCAATACACCTAGTTCTCGACAGAGGACAAGTTTACAGGCAATTTTCTCCTTCCTTCTTTTGGCTCCCTTCCTTTTCTAAGTCCTATACCAATTTTATGGTATCCGAAAGCCACTTTTGACGACTTCCAGCCTTGACCCATTCGCCACCTTGGACACCAACCGCGTCCATTGAAGTATCCAGACCAACACACTTTTCGAACCATCAAAGAGTGTGTCAGAGTCTTAGTAACCCTTTAAAAGAGTATGTTCCAATCAAACTTGGCACATACGCCAGCGACGGTAGTACTGCTCCTGGAGTGTCCAGAGGGGTACAATCTAATCACATGTAGCTGATGCGTGTTACGTAGCTAATAGACCGTGTGACGTCATCGTGCGTGCTGACCCTTCGTGTATCACAGTCATTACTAGCTTAATACCTTCATTATCTACAGTTTATGTATACTTTACATAACGGACCAGCCACTTGCCACTCCTGTTGAGGTGTTTGTAATGCGTTGTTTTAGCGTCGTGTTATCTTTCTGTGGAATTGTGTTGTGCATTCTTTCTCTAGTTTGTGATGGGTAGAAGAGTTGGAATCGTTGGTTCATATTGAATTTAGTCTTCGGTAACAGTTCTTTGGCAGAAGATATTTTTCCAACCAGATCGTTTAACTTGGTCAATACAGCTTTAAAATATGTGTGTATACCGTAGACCTGCGGAATTGACTCCAGTTGTTCCGCAAGGATGATAAAATCCGCAAGTGTTGTATTTATGTTGTGCTAAGTATAAAGGTCTCTAAAGTAGCACGGACCGAATTATATATTTGTTCATGTAGAAGATTCAGCTACTCCCACCAAAGTTGGTCGATCACCAAAATCCAAATGACGAAGAACGTTTTCAAACCTTTACAATAACGTTAAACTTTCTTCAACAAAGAACATATAGTTTTTTAGACATTATACTTTCTTAAATGTTACCTCACGATCTAGATGGCACTGTTATTTTCATTGTTGTCTTTTAACAAACGCTCCTAAGAAACCGCTGATCTTTGTCGGTAAACATGGATGTCATCTAGTTCATTCACCACTCATTTTTCACCCTTTTTCACCCTGACGTTAAAATAGAAAACTTCCGTTGGTGAGTAGCAATATTTAACACTCACATCTGATATTCTGCGCTCTCATCATTAGACCGCTCTAGTTTCGCTCCGCCACTGTTTGTTGCCATGCGGTAGGACAGAAACTGCAAGTCAAGTCTCGGCTTTAATTGTATCAGCTGTCAGGCGGCAACACACAGAGGTGCTGCTTGGCGGGTGACTTTCCCGCCAAACAGCTAACAGCTGATCATAACGAGCGAAAGGACATCCAATCAGAGCGTCGCTTGTGGTTCCGCCGGCCAATTATGTTGATAGTTTAACAAAGGTATTAAAATGGTGATTGCATGAATACAAATGCAAAGGGTACAATCACTATTTGAACGAGGTATGTTTTTGTGAATTGTGTGCGTTAGTGTGGATGACAGGGGTCAGGAATTTGGCAGTGAAGGATTTAAAAAAGCCAAAGGATGTGTTTACCATAGACAAAAAGAATTAAATATAGACTGTCAGCCGTGCTGCGGTACCATAGGTTCTGGCACACACAGCTGGAAGCGCGGTGTAGTTACGTAGCGCGTACGCCGTAACTGCATGGCGCTCCCAGTGGTGTGCGCCAGAACCTATGGTAACCGCAGCACGGATGACGGTCTATAGTTGATTCCTTTTGTCTATGGTTTTACCTGACGGCACATGTGGTTTTGGTGGAGCATCTATGTTGGTTAGTAAGACTTTTCACAAAATTTCACACGAACATACAGCTTCGACTCGGACGATAATGTCATTAAAGAAAAGACAATTACACCAACACTATTGCAGCCAATATATACCTAAACGTAGGCCTAATGGAAAGAGCAACTGATGATAGCATAAAAATCTAAACGTGTTTTCTGCAAAAATGTTATCGGAAACTTAAGAAAATACACATTTTGATAGTATAATCAGTGCTACGAATCTTACATCATGAAATATCAATATGGCTACAAGATTATGTATTTGACTGTGACTAGTTCAATAGCCCCGAGTTCAAACTAGGATAACCAATTTATTATATTGAATATATTTTCTAAGTTACAGTAGACAGTCGGTTGATATGTGTTTATTCAAGTAATTAAGCCAAGAAGAAGTACATTTACATTTTAATGGTAGTCTTGAAAGACAGGAACCGGAACAGAGTCGTATTCGTAGTTGGCAAAACAATATAAATGTGAGAAACAGTTAATTAGAAATACAAACTCCATCTGCTGTCCCTAATGATCACGAATGACGTGGAAATCCTATATTTCATTTTAAAACTTTCACTCGACAAAACACAAATATAGAAATTGTGGGAAATGGTTTTGAAACTCATAATCCACAATTCTTTGGGGGTTAAGAGTGGTATTTCCAATTAAATAACATTCTCGATACGTCTTAAGTAATGCTTCCTAGTGCATCACTTGCCAAACACATAAAGTCGAGCTGTTTGGTTATTGAATTGGACACATTTCAACAACCCTGAGTAAGTTGGACAACCCTAGTAAGTTAGCTCGTAAAACCAAATTCATCTCGTTTGACAAACTTCAACTTCAACAATCAGCTGTTTCCGATACATTCGACTAGCCTGTTTTGTTAAAGGTTGTATTAATAGTTAACTGCTGTAGAGTCAACATATATTCCGGACGATTGTGGACACGGAGTTGCGGACGACCAAGCAGCAGAGCAGCAGTAGTCCTTACTGTCCGCATCTGCCTACTTTAACACGGATTCAAAGACATTTTCTACTGTTTAATCTGTGGTTAAGCATATGTCTGCAATCCGCAATTGTCCGGTATTTAGTCGGTTACCTCCCGCTATCTCCGCGTCCCGCCATCTCCGTGTACCGCTACCTCCGAATTTCAGAGTGACCCCTATAATCCTCAGTTACTTCCTGCGTTAAGACTTTCCGTCCAAACCTAACCTAACCTAACCTAACTTAACTTAACCTAACCTAACCTAACCTAACCTGACCTGACCTAACCTAACCTAACCCACGGGTTAAAATTTCATTAAATCTTCCATCCACGGGGCTTCGCAGCCGTGGATGCAATGACAGCTATCAACGTAGGCAGTGACGGGATTATAAGGGGCACTCAAGAATTCGGAGATGGCGGGACAGATTTGGGTTCGGAGATGGCGGAACGCGGAGATAGTGGGAGCACACGATTTAGTCGACATTTACTCCAGAGCTTGTATTTCCAATTTGACCAGTATTGTGTCGACAGTTTCATGGTCGATGAAGGGCCGCGGTCGACTGGCCGCCGCTGGGTCCGTTATGATGTTTGGCCACTATTAGACGACCCAGCGGTCAGGAACGACCCGGTCTTGACCCGTGGGATAACAAGAACTTTGTTGTCGATGACATTCGATACGTTTACAGGCTGCACTTCAGTTTACGCCCTAAACTCATTCGAATGAAAAATATCGATATAGACTATTCGATGTATCGATTATTTTATTCGGTTAGTTAGGTCTTAACCTAACTAAGCAAACATGATATATCGAATGAAATAATCGATATATCGATCGATATATTCATTCGAAAAGTGTTCTGTACATTTACCCTTTGTTAACGTCTTTGACAGAAAAATAAATCAAATTTAAAATGTATTAAATCGGTATTTAAATAACTAAGGATTGGATACCGTTATTATTACTAGTTGAGATAGTGAGGTGAGTATTTTAACACAGATATGAGTCAAAGATTAGTGTAGAATGAAGAGATACCTTGTGTAGCTTTGTTACTGACTTAAGAGCAGATGTTTCATTAGGATCATTTATGAAAAGCCCAATTATCAAGGACAGCTGGGTCCAGGTTCGAACCATCATAAAACTACTAACTTTTCTCAGGATTGAATTGGCGACCTTTTGATTACTATAGGTGAGCACCATAACCAATCAGATCCCAGCTTTATAAATTCAAAACCCGAGACGCAAATAAGACATCAGGATAAAACATTAGTAAATATATCACAATCAATACGAAACCGACATTTAAGCTTTACTAATGTCATTTACTTCATACCATCGTAAAGCCAATCTTGAACCTTGACCATTTTAAGTCCCAGGAATCTTCTAAGTCACTTAAATGTGTTGTTGCGTGTTCCAGGGCGACCACCAACCGGAAGTTGAAGGAGACAGTTGCGCTAGAGTTGAGTTTCGTCAACTCCAACTTACAGCTGCTCAAGGAACAGCTCGCTGAGCTCAACAGCTCGGTGGAACTCTATCAGGGGGACAGGTAAACATTGTGCAAATATTGTGTAATCCCTTATACGAAAAAATTGCGTTTTCATTTTCCTGAATTAAGTTATTGGTATTACCTCGTCAATATTTGGGCCTAATTCATGTTTTGATTCACAGCCATAAAGCAAGAGTGTTTGGAAAATTTGAAAACATTAAATTTAAGATTTTATAAGAAAGAAAAATCTTTATTTAAGTGGGAATTGTTCTTGATTTAATTTGTACTGTTGACATCATAATTTGTGAAATGGGTCTAAACTGGTTAAAAACTAATAATTCCATAACCATTATATGTTTAGTTTAGTAATAAAATAAATCGATTCCAAAAAGAAAACACTCCCGCCGTAGCAATTTTCATAAATCAGTTTACAACAGTTTATTATTCCCCATACAAATAACATTGGGATTTTAAATTTACAATCTATCTATATATTATTTTATTTTAATTTCTCTGTAACCATTAGGTGCATGAATAACACTTTAATATATTTACTAATAAAAAATTGTTTGGAAATCAATTGTAAACTTTTATGTTTTTGGGGTCAAAAATTGGAAAACCCAATTTTTGCACCCATAAAACCCCCTATAAACCCCCGTTCCCATAGTCCGATTAGCTGGTTCGCGAACTCGTTAGAATAAAAGTAAGTTTACACGTTTCTACCAAATTTCATAGTAAAAACAAATCATTTTTGCTCTAGTTATCGTACTAACGGACACATATATGAATTTGAACGGATTGTACTTTTTGCCTCTATGGACCTCAAAACGAAAAAGTAAATCGGTCCCGGGTCAAGGTCTTGCCATGAGTTCTGCGGTAATAGCTTCGCCCAGGGAAGTGTCACTAGTATTTTCCGGGTCGAGTTGTTCCGGATGGCATGGCGGGTGTCGACCGGTAAAAGCTTCGCCCGATACCACTACCGTGACCACTTGTCATTGAGGAAATGCCAGTAGTGCGGGGGACGTTACATAGTACTCTAGCCCTATCCAACCATGGGGAGGGGGCCAAACAGTCGTAAGGTTAGCGTAAATTATATTATAATGAATTGTTTCAGTGTTTTCTCATCATTTAGGTTAATTATTCGCCAATTAGTTCATTAAATAAAACTTTAACAACAAGCGGCATTATGAAAAAAATTAATTCTTATAGCTGCTAACAAATATCACAGAGTTATTTATTATTATTATAATCTAAGGCTTACCTTACGATCCAATTGATTTTTTGACAAATCTATTAGACCGTAAGGAAAGCCTTACATTATAATAATGATTAATAACGATCTAGAGGCTATTTCTCCAAAAGAGTTATTTAAGTTTATTATGACGTTGGTTCTGAAATGTTATTATTATTATTTTTATTATTATTATTATTTGGACTTTTCTGACGTTTCTTGTGTTTCTGGAGGTGGATCAACTCCTCCCGTTAAGTGAAATTACTAATTACTACATAAATCTTTCGAACTCAAAAGGTTTTACATTTCTATGATTGAGGGTTAGTTAATTATGTAAAAGAAATAAAAACTGTACGAAATTGCAAAGTCATAATCTTTAATTTAGCAAAAAACGCGTTCTATTTTTAGTTCAGAAAGCCCAACTTTTTAATTTTGTTGTTTTAATTAATTTTAGAGTTTACAATAGTAAAATGTAAAACAATTACAAATTACTTATTTTATCACCTAATAAAAGATTTATAGATATTATTTATTACAACATTTAATTCATGCATTGTTTCGGTCGGAACCCACTTTATATTATGTGCTTGTTAGTCGGAACTGAATAGAGTAAGATGGTTTGCGGTGGTGCCTGCAATTGCCAAAACGCAATTCGGGTACAATTTGAAATTTGCGTCCGCTCGTTCGCCAGGCGTTCTGGAAGAATCTAAAATATTACGAATCAAACAAAATACACTTTGTATAAACCTTTGTAGCATGATTTACTTGTTGTAAAACTACTTCATACTTTTTGTAGCATAAGAGTATTTTAATTCATATTTTTTCAACGATTTTTCAATAAATATAAGCGGTAATCAGATTTTTGTCTATACATCACTTTAATACTTTTATATACAGATTGTTTTTTGTTGTTTTTTTTTCACGACTCGTATGTTAACATTTACTAACTATGTAAATTTATTGCTCAAGTTTTTCATAACATGGAAACGGTCTGGAACAGATTATAAACTTATGAAGGAAATATTTAGCATAATTTTCGTGAAAAGTTTTGGAGCAAGCCTTATATACTCATATATTATAGGATTAGTTTTGTTTGCATTATGTTTAGTCAAACTAAAATTACTTAATTAAAACATAAATTTTGATATAATTAATTAGGGGTTTACCTTATTTATGCTTTTCATTGCTCTAGGGTAATTTAATGTGATAAATTGGATATAAGGTACAAAGTCTGGGATATAGTTTTTGGGGGTTTTCCACAAGTTTAAGTTAAATTCCATTATTTACTTGTTTAAAAACGATAACATTTCTTTTTCATATTAAAGAAATTTAAATAATTACTCGTACGAATACCACCTTAAAGCTGTATTGTTTTTTATAACTTTTGTTTTCTGTTTCCAGCCCTGAGCCAGTAATGCCAATGATACCTCTAGGTCTCAAAGAAACAAAAGAGATAGACTTTCGAGAACCGTTTAAGGTAAATATGTTTTTTTTTATAAAGTAGATTTATAAAATGACTAAAGTGAATCAGGCAATTTAATCTTTTCACCTATTATCTTGAATCTGTTTCTGGCTTTTGACATAGGCTATCAAATCAACAATAATGTTCATATTGTAGGTTAGGTTTAAAAACTAAATAGTTGCCTAATTTCCACCCTAGGTTTAGATTTTTTCAACTGTTTTTTTTTTTTTTTCAGGAAGCGACTACTTAAAAATTCTCTATTGAGTTTGTATTTAACGTTTGGATTTGTTTTGATGTATTCAATTTTAATATTACAGTATTGATTTTTTTGTGTAAAATTTGAGTAAGATCTCTACATATTTTTGTATTTGTAGGACTTTATTTTGGAGCACTATAGCGAAGATGGCACCAACTATGAGGATGCAATAGCCGAATTAATGGATTTAAGACAGGTTAGTTGCTTTGAAATATTCTTTAAAAGGTACCTACTGTATATGATATTTACTTGAAAATATATTTGAAACAATTTACTATAAATGCGGTAAGCTTTTCCTCTTTGGGAGCTAGAAATTTTATGAACCAAGGGAATAATTAATAAAAGCGATTTTACAATAGTCAAAACATTAAGAACAAGACTCTCATGGGGATCAAATAAGACTTGTTATAATGGTCGACTTCTCATCAAGGTCTGCAATTACATGTGATTTAGGGGTAGAATAAATTCAGTGGGATTTGTAAAAAACACTTTTTATCAAGGATGACTTGTTATTGAGGGTCTTGTTATGGAGGTTCCACTAATTATTATTATACTAGGTACAGGGGATTAATTTATTATTCAGCTATCCAACAATCATTTACAGATCCTAAATGAGGAATCTTTAAAAGTAAAAAATAATATTTCTCATTTCACATTTTTGACAAAATATTAAGGTAAAAACGAGAAAAAGATTAAGGTAAACGAGTCATCCCAACAGGTAAGCTAGCCCCACAAAAAATAGTACAGTATCCGGAACGGTCAACGGTCTTAAATTTGAAAAGAGAAACTACAGGGTACGACAAAAAATCCGATATATTTTCTGTAGCGCACTGTTGAGCAACAGGTCGTCTGAGGGTGGTGGGGGTAGGCTCGTTGGAAAGCCTACACTATGCCATTATCTGTAGTCATAGAGCAGTGGTTGCCTGAGCTACGTTAGTTTGTTACCAAGTCGTTTTTAAAAAGTAATGATTCAGTCGCAACTCAGCGGCAGTTCTGCACATTCTTTCAACTAGGGTGAAGTTCTGTCCGTAGTACAATCATGCGGTGGGCGGTGGGTTACTAAATTTATAACTACAACTTCTGCTTTCAAAAAGAAGCAGACAGGCAGTCCAAAGTCAGATCCGACGCCAGACAACTAACATTTGATAGAGTTAGAGCTGCTGTGAAAAACAGACCTCGTAAGCCCGCCCGAAAACAAGCGGCTGCTTTTAACATGTCTGACCGCTCGGTTACACGAATTTTGAGGTTCGATCTTAATTTTCATTCCTACGGATTAATTTAAACTAATCTGTTTACTTTTGTTGATTGTTCATACAGATAATCGAGACAAAACCTCTCCTTGTTTACCTAATTTAAAGAATGCACATAACTGCCGCTGAGTTGCGACTGAAATACTACGTTTTAAAAACGACTCGTTAACCAACTCACGTAACTCAGGCGACCACTGCTCTCACAGATAATGGCATAGTGTAGGCTTTCCAACGAGCCTACCCCCACCACCCTCAGACGACAAGTCGCCGAACACTGCGCTACAGAAAATGGATAAGTTTTTTTGCTGCACTCTGTATATACCTGACCTAAGGACGTTTTAAATTCAATTTATAGCGTTGTTTGTAATAAGGAATTGTTTTTCTTCCTCAACAACTAATAAATACAACTATATAAATAATCCATAAAATTTATTTTCCAGGCAATGAGGACACCTCATAGAGACGCCACTGGGGTAGCTCTACTGTTTCAGTATTACAACCAACTATATTTTGTAGAGAGAAGGTTTTTTCCACCTGACCGAAGTCTTGGGATATATTTTGAATGGTAAGTCTCGATTTACATAATGTTATCTAAAATAATGAATTTCCATGGTAAATGAAGCACCCACAATTTTAGGAGATCAGCTAATTATTTGTTATAAATTTTGTAGGTGATATTTTACAGTAGTTCTATAGCCTGTATTTTTAGTATGTCCGAGTTTTGTACACATAATTTATCTTTTTAAACCTTTTTTTACTAACATCAGCAAGTTTCTCCTGTTTACCTAGCCATGCTAGCTTGATCTATACTATTATAAAAAAGAGGTGGTTGCTGTATGTATGGGAAAAGTAAACGCAAAAAATACTGGTCGGATCGGGCTGAAATTCGGCATGATGATAGCTCACATTCCCGATTAACATATAGGCATATATTTATCCCAAAAATCCTTTCGGGCTCCGCCCCAGTGGCTCTGGAGTTTCCCATGTTAACCTTATGAGAAATGAAATTATTGAATCTTAACAGCTGTTTCAATTAAACAAGTTGGTTCTGTTCTGTGATGTTTAATAGCATTAAAGTTACAAGGATTACCAACAGGGTGCAGCACTAGCACTATTATTTCTTTTACATTTATGACAACAGCTAATTTGCAACCAAAAGGTGAGTGAGCGTAGCGAACGAACTTCAACCTGGAGGCGAGTGAGCGTAGCAAACGAGCTAACCTGAAGGCAAGTGAGCGTAGCGAACGAGCTAACCTGAAGGAAAATGAGCGCAGCGAACGAGCTCCAACCTAAAGGTGAGTGAGCGTAGCGAACAAACTTCAACCAGGACGTGATTGAGCCATGCAAACGAGATCACCTTGAAAATTAAGAAGTTAAACGGGGCAAAGCTTGAGTATAATTGCAATAAGAATTTTATACTTATATTCCAACCCCGTACGAAGGACGGGTACTCTGCTAGTATAGTAATACAAAATAAATCATTGACTAATTAACGGACGGAATTGCTTTACTTTGTTGTGTTCAAGGTATGATTCATTGACTGGGGTACCGAGTTGTCAGCGAACGGTTGCGTTTGAGAAGGCTTGTGTATTGTTCAACATAGCGGCTCTATACACACAACTAGGAGCGAAACAAGACCGTCTAACTGCTAAAGTAAGTACGAGTTGAGCATAAGAGATTATTTAATTAGTTAATTAAGTTTATCTTCCACGGGAGAGGCCTGTCTGAAATTCCCTGTATACCACCATGAATCAACCAATACTTAGGCAACACCAACAGAACATTAAATCGACGATTTAGAGAACATATTATGGTCATCACAACAACCCTAAATCAATGTTAGCCAAACCCCTACTACAAAATTAAACTCACACAATAACTTTTCCCAATTTCCTCACGATTCTGAACAAAAGTCATACTCAAAACCATTAGCAAAAGTACAAGAAAACTACCAAATATAGAAACATGTACATAAAAATGTTTTGAGCAACCTGCAATGCATTAAAGAAGCCTACACCAGCTCTACAATTTTCAAATTAACCTTATTGAAATGGTCAAAAATGGAAACACAGCAACAAATCGGCAACACTATAGATATCAAACCACCCATCCTCTCTTTACATAAACCAGGAATGTCTAAACTATGCTCAACTGTTAAACGACCCAAATGCCAACACGTCCAATAAATGAAATGGATGATTACAGACCTTCCGTGTGACTCCGCCAGGCGTCCGTCGATTTGTTGTACGATGGACAATTCTAGTAATGGCATTTGTGTATATATTTTTGTAAATATATGCTATAGTGTTTGTGATAAAAGTATTCTAACAGTAAGACAGCTAAAAAACCCACACAAGGTGGCAAAATGCAGACACTAACATAACATCTTACCTACAAGAACTCAGACAATAAATCAAAGATAAATCTAATAAAAATCAAGTTCTTGAAACTGGGATTACAAAAATATCTTCCATTCAACTCTCATATTTTTATCTTCAACTTAAAATCACAAGTTTTTACTTTTCACAGGGGCTGGACGCAGCGGTAGATAACTTCCTAAGAGCAGCTGGTACCTTCACCTACGTCCATGAGAACTTTACCAACGCACCCAGTATGGACCTGGCCCCTCACATGCTGGACATGCTAGTACAACTCATGTTGGTCAGTAGAAATTTAGTGATTAGGATAAAGCTAGGAATTCAAAATAGACAAAAAATTTCTACAGGCCCACAGGAATTTTCAAAAATGCATGTTGTCAACACTGTTTACTTGGTAGATTCCATTCACCCAATACCTTCCCCCCTTTTCCTCCCCTACCTATTGATATATCATTTGTTCATTTTGCATGGGTGCCGTGACCTTGACAGGTCGTCTGTTCATAACATGTCCGTCTCAGAAGCCCAGCGTTAGTGTATTTTAAAGCGGGGTCTCACAGACCGAGGGTTTCGGTTTGGGTGTTTCTAAGCGGGGTCCATTATTTTTCAAATGGGGTCTCACAGACCGGGGGTTTCGGTTAACGTCAGCCTAGGTGGGGTTTCGGTATTAGTGTTAAGTGTTATATGTGGGTCAATTAAAATAAACTTAGGGATATTAATGTTCCTGAAGTGCAAAAATAGTATGAGTCAAAGAATGTTATTTAAATCTCCAATGTTTTGTGATGTAATTACATTTTTACACGATTTTTGCAGGCTCAGGCTCGAGAATGTTTGTTCGAGAAGCTCGAGCTTCAATCAAGGGACAAACGAGATGTCGACGTCTCATTGGACTTGGCTCAAGAAGCAGCACAGGTAACGTTTTGTTCAAAACTTCTAATTGAAAACATACGTTTTATGAAAGTGTATGTTGGTGACAACAGTATTTTGATTACAATTCCTATGGGATTGTATTATGAATTTAAGTCAATGACTATCAATTTTCACAAATCAAAGCAACACAAAGTTGTTCTAAATCAAATAATTCAGCTACTTCTGACTTCCAACTTCCATATAAACTTATAAACTTCTATAAAGATCTCAAATCCACCAACTAAACCCTCTATTGCAGGTGTCGGAGGTGTACTGCTCCGTACAGACGCTGATATCCGTGTCCGCAGTGAGAGATTACGTGCCATACTCGTGGTTGTCGCTGGTGCAAGTCAAGCGTGAACACTACGCAGCCCTCGCTCACTACCATTCTGCCGCAGGATTGCTCGCAAAGGACCTAGACAGTCTTAGCTCCCGGACAAAACAGGCTCTACAGCTGTTACATAGAGACTTGGATCCTCGGACGGCACTCGACATGTCTCAACCGCATGACGACCACGAGCGGAAACTGCTAGGTAAGATATTGTCCTTTGTTTATATTTAAGGATGTACCATAGATCTAAAGAGCTTAAATTTTTAGGATTTTTTGAGAAGATAGCAGAATGGAAAAGAGTCCAAACTGGCACAGGAAACACAAAACTTTACACTATATACACACAAAACATTAGAATATTTAATTGTCACTGACAGCATTTTCAACTCGGGAAGGTAGAGTTTTATTTATGTCCAATATAATGGCCAGTGAGAGTTGTTGAGACAGTATTGCCAATAGTATGAATTGAAAAAAAACACATTTTCGGTTGATCTTTTATACTCTATATACATGAATAAGTCTGTAAGTCTGCTTGTTGGGTTGGATGTTGAAGTGGATGTTGAAGTGGAGTTGAAGTAGATATTTAATTTAATACAGGAGTTGATGAACACATATTCTTTCTGAACAGTTGACAGAATACGCCATCCATGTCATGTTTATGACACTATATTCCTTACATTTTGATTTTCATTGTATTTCTTCATTTGTCCAACAATATCTGAAAAAAAAAATAGAAATATTGTATGTAGATGGGAAAATAAAATCCAACAGAAATATCTTAAAAAGTATAACATAGAAATAAAACTCACCTTAAAAATAATGGGCTTTACATTATCTTCATTTAAATTTCCAATACCTGAAAAAAAACAAAATTAGAAAAGTTGTGGATGGGGAAAAATTAACGTAAGTATCCTACTGTCTTCAAAAATAGAACCTTGAAATAAAACTCACCTTAAAAAGAATTGGCTGTTCATTATCTTTATTTAAATTCCCAATACCTGAAAAAAAACACAAAAATTAGAAAAATTGTGGATGGGGGGAAAATTAATTTAAGAATCCTACTGTCTTAAAAAATAGAACCTTGAAATTAGACTCACCTTAAAACAGAGAAGTGTTATATTTATTATCTTCTTTTAAAATCCCATGGGCTGAGCTAAGGAGCTGGTCAACCAAAGGGATCACTAATCACTCGATGCCCTAGAAGCGCAAGGAAGTTAACTGAAATGTGCAACCAATTGTCGTAAAGAGTAAAAAAGAAGGATCAAAAGAGTTTCTTATTTAATTTCTTTAGTCAACAATCATTGTGATAAACCTGAGGTGTTTGTCATACAGGTCGAGCACACCTCAGGGGAGCTCTCATGTTGCATGATGAAGCCGAGAGGTTGCTGCGGATGTGTCGGGAGTTACGCAACAAGAAAGCACTCGCCCAAGTGTTGTCCAGGTCCAGAGACGAGACCACAACTATGTACAGCAACCACACGGAGCAGATTGACGACTTCAGCGAAATACTCGACCCTCCTCACATTCACGGTAAGCTTCCTAGCCTTGTCTTTAATTGATTGCTATTAACCTAACAAAAATAATATTTACTGGTGTAAATACAGTGGACCCCCAATAAGAAGACCCTTGATAACAAGTGGCCATTGATAACAAGAGTATTCAAATACCATTGATACAAACCTTATTTATACGTTACAAAAACCAACCCTGATAAGAAGTAACCTTGATAACAAGTCTTATTTAATCATTCCCATGAGAGACTTGTACTAAGGTTCTACTGTAATCACCGTTTTCCTCCGATTTTTTCAGCCTCCACCAAGTTCCAGCTGAGTCTGACTCCCCCAGACTTTGCCCAGTTGAGGGTGGAAGATCTGTTCAAAGGCCTAGGTCCGGTGGCCATCTTCTCCGCCAAGCACCATTGGACGGCGCCACGCTGTGTACAGCTCCACCGCGGCGACGGAGAGGTCGGCTTCGGCTTTAGTGTGAGGGGTGACTCCCCCGTCATCATAGCTGGAGTGGACCATGGCTCTTTGGCTCATGTGAGTGTATAGCTACTAGCATTTGAGTAAGACAAACAAAAATTGTAAATACTGAACTTTGTTAGATGTGTATCGTAGTTTAAAAACAGTTGATTAAATGACATTTTCCCACCCTGCACAGTTAAAACAGCTGGTTCCTTGGTTCTTTTGTAGACAAGATAGTCATTGATTACAGAATGGGGTTGGTAAAATCAGCGATGATTGTTGGGGTGCGATAATGTTATGAATCACTCCAACAGGGAACTTTCCACAAAGAAATACAAGTTTTTTTTTGTAAACCTTTAACTCAATAAATGTTAGACTAGTTTGGACAGGAACATAGCACTTTTAAAATAAGTATTGGGAATGTTAAAAAAATATACCTACTAAAAATATGAAAATCCTGTTTAAATGTTGTGTTAAAATAATATTCCAATTGTTTGTACATGGGTGTCGTGTATAGTTTTTACTGGTGGAGTGGCAAAAAATATTATTACCACCCATAAAAAAGGATGTGTATTTGTTTTAGTTTGGTGGGATGAAAGAAGGAGATTTCATCGTATCCATAGGAGACAAAGACGTCAAATGGGCTCTGCATGAGGAAGTGGTCAGATTGATCAAAGACGCTGGGGACTCCCTTAGTCTCAAACTGGTCACTCCGATGGACAGGAACTATCTCAAGGTGTATAAAATATCATCTGGGGTTAAATATCCGGTACAGTCCCTCTCATCCAGACTTTTTGGGACTAAGGCCATTCCGGATAACAATTTTCAACTTAAACCAGCACCCCCTAAATCCATGCTGACTTTTGCACTTGATAGTGTACAAGAAGGGACGATGAGTTTATATTTTTGACTGCACATGGATTCATGGCCTTTTATGAGTTCTAGACCAATATTTTGCTATATTAGACAAGTGATCATAGATCTCAATTCTTTACTATGAGAAAAGTCGTTTCAGTACCACCCACTTTTGGCTGATTCAATTTGGTTAAACCAGTATCCAGATCAAAATTGTCCAGTTGATAAGATGTTCTACTGCTGAGTGTAGTCCGGTTAAACCAATGTCCGGATAAGAGCTACAGCCTACTGTATTACAATGATTCAATGGTCAACTTTGTTACCAAATCGGTTGTTGTCTTTGACTGTCCTTATAAATGTCCAAGTTTGATTTTTCTGCAGTATTGTGGTGCAATTTTGGGGTGGGGACAAAATAAATTATATGTTGTCTTTGGTTATTACAGTTTTGTCCCCCCAAAACAGTCACACATAGATCACACTAGATCTGTGTGCAGAAAACCTAGCATACAAGATGCATACTGTGCGGGGTCGCAAATTATTTAACATAAAGTGTATTTTTAAACTTTTTGACATTATGGGCTCGGAATATTAACTACAAAAAAGAGGTTTCAGGGTAAACCCTTAAAGCCACATAAAATATATATGAGGGTTAGTCTTAACACAGCGTCTATAAATAAATGAAAATGTTCATAGTATATACTAGTAGGAATATACTTGGTGGTTGGTGGACACCAAAGTCTCGTATAAGATAGAATCTAGGCTCATAATGTGCCCAAAAACTCATGAACAATAAATACTAAATAAAATAATCCTTTTAACATCCACAACTCACACAACCAAACTGTGCTGTTTACAAAGACTATATCAATCAAATTAAATTGTATGTAACATGCTAATTTTATTAAGCACAGTATTGTATTGGCCGCGTTCGAATTATTGTATTTTGCAAAACATTTGTATGTTTTCTAACCACTCAAATTACAATATCGATATTTTCCAGCAACCATCGAGTAGTTCTCAGTCGAGCACCCACAGCAAGTCGAGTACCAGCAGTCAGCCTAGTCCAAGCAACACTACGAGTTCTCACAAGCGACTGACGTGGAACCCCTTCAGACGTCAGCGAGAGCGAGAAACGAGCTTCAACCTCATCTTGAGATAAACTCTTCCCCTAGACCTACCCTTAGTAGCCTTGTGGTAAATGCATTGAAAAAGATGATTAGAGTAACCTAACTGTTTCTAGAATATGAATAGTACAAAAGTGGAAAATTATGAAAATATTTTACAGATTAAATCGTTAGTCTGAAAAAATACATTAAATATTTTTATGCTATCAGATTCTCTCTTGTTCACACAATTCTCGACTAGATTCTTGTCTCAACGTAAACAAGTCCTAATGGTCAGAAGTTATTTATAACTAGACAGTGAAAGAGGTTGTGACTAGTTTGTTTTCATGTCCGAGTCTGAGCATGTGTGTGTGAGTTATGTAGGTAATTTTTAACTATTGAAAGTCTGAACAAGAGAAAAATCTACCATACATGCTTTTGTATGGGTGAAAACCCTTTGAATTGGTGGTAAAGAAAATATTTTTTCAAGTACTGGTAAAACTGTTTGAAATATGTTTATAAATATGAAGACAATCTTATAAGTCAATAATTTGTGTTTTAAGTACGCTTTCAGCTTGTTGATATATCATACTATTTTTTTTTTATTGATATAATTGTTGAATCATTTTACAATTTTAGACTTTGTTTTTACAATAATGTTTCTAAATACCAATATACACAAAGGGTAGCGTCTGTATAGATGTATATAATATAAAAAACTGTGTTTCTGTGTGCAACATGTTTCACTTATCTTATTTAATATTTATTTTTTCTTAAATTTTAACTATTTTCTTGTGTTCTAAAAAAGGAAAGAAATATTAAATGAATGAAGTTAATTTCAAAAACATTGGAGTAGAAACGGTCCATGCACACAGAAACAAAATCATTATTTACGTGCCAAAGTATATATTGAAGCTAATAGTTGATCAATTTTAATTTCTTCAATTTTCAATGAAATTTTCTACTGATGGTAATTATGTAAATAGTATTAGGTTGTATGTCTACACTTATATTTGCAAAATATAATAGAAGAAATGTAATTAATAAACAAATATGAAATAATATGAATTGAATTTGTAAAACTGTTTACTCTAAAGTAGCATTACTATTGTTTACTATAATCCAAGTTTTAGTTTTTCATGGAGTAAATTTTGAGAACAATGTTTAGTTATATCTGTAAGGATAAGTTTTTAAAGGAAAATCTGATTTAATAACATGAAGTATATTGATACACTGTGTATTATTAATAGCTTTAATTTAAAATAATAAGACTGATATTTTAAATATTTTTGTAGATTTCTGTTCTAAAGGATATGGTTGGGGCCTGAAAATGTGGGAAGTGTTGTAAAATGTTTTAAGCTGTGTATAAAGATAAGAAATCTCTTGTAAATAAATGTGTAATTATCATACTTCAATTTACAGATTTTTTCCCTGAGACTTAATAATAACCCTGATTACTTGGTTTCACTGGATGGATTCACACTTGAGGGTTGGTTTTGAAAGGTGATTTGATGTTTTACCCATCAACTGTATGGGAAAAGCTTGAAAGTTTAAAATATTTTTAACCACACTACAATGTTTTTAGCCGTTTTACAAATGTTTATTGGAGGCCGAAAGATACATTGCTGACCATGCCAGCTGTCATCATTAATTGGGGACCGAGCAGGTTTTTACATCCCTAGGGCCGAAAACCAGCTATTTACTTATTTACTTATAACATTAATGTATATTAAATACACCAGCAGTATCCATATGTATTGCAATAGACTTGTTTTATTGTCACCGCTGCCTAAGCAACTATTTATTGTTATTTTTGCTAATTCCTCAAAATATTTCACATAACCTCAAAGTTGTAGTTGTGTTGACTGTTGGTGTGAATTATAATTGTGATGAATGGTAATAGGGTATAGTGTGGTGAAAAATACTGTTCTTACCAGGGGCGAAATAGTTTTCCCACTCTTAATCGTTTCAAGTTATCGACTTCGTCCAAGTCGACTTGTACAAGACATTTACAAGGGTAGTCTTAAACATCAAGTGATTCAATACCAATCTTGAAGATTGGATCATTGAAATCCTAGATACTAAACCCAAAACTATGTTGTGTATATATGTACGGTATATATAATCTAACAAAAAACCACTAAGTGGTAACACTTTCCCCGCCGAGTCAGCAATCCAAAAAAGATAATAAATCATTACTTTTTCCGCCAAGAAAAACAATGTAATGTATGTAAGTTTGGCAACTTGGCGGCAGACTTTTGCTTGGTTTTAGCGAATTTCCCTATAGGGAAGTAGCTATTACCGTAGGTCTCATGGTAAGACCTTAGCCCGGGACCGATTTACTTTTTCATTTTGATGTCCCCAGAGGCCAAAAACACCATTCGTTCAAATTTTTATATATAGAGATATATATAGGATATTATACATAGAGATATATATATATATATATATATATATATATGTCCATCCGCACGATAACTTGAGTAATTTTTGTCCGATTTTGATAAAATTTGGTTTGAAGGTGTAAGGCGGGATAAACTTGAATGAGTTCGCGAACCAGCATGATCGGATTATGGGAACGGGGATTTATGGGGGGTTTTATGGGGTAAAAATAGGTTTTCCCCATTTTTGCCCCTAAAAACACAAAATTTCACAATTTCTTTTAAACCATTTTGTAGAGCTTAAAATAACAAATAATTTAGTATATTGAAGCGTTGTTATACGCCTAATTGTTACGGAGAAAATTCAAAAAAATTGTAATTTTAAAATTCCCATGTTATTCTTAAGGAGAATAAGTCAACTGTTGTAGTTTGCTTGTTTATGAACATATGTTGATCGATTTTGGAAAATACTTTTATTTCTTACTAAACTATTATCATTTTATAAAAAAGTCTTTTTTACCCTCCCTGTTGCAGCAAACCTAAGGTACTTGTTAAACTAATTCTATTTAAATAGGATATAAATGTGCTATTTTTATGGAGGCATTTTAGTGTAAATCCAATCAGGTCAATGGAAATTCGCTTAGTCTGCAGGTTTGCTGCGGCGGGGGTATTTTTCATTTAAGTTACGTTAGTGGATAATTTCACAAACCAACTTCTCTAATTAATTAGTCCAACGACTAATTAATTCTAATTGATTCGAGGTAATCAGTAAATATAAAACCATCACTATTATGATTTTATGAAATGTGGCACAAATAAGGTCAAATTTTGTGAAGCTCTGACCTACAGTGGTAGCAAAACGGGAGTGCCGATGGAGACCTGTGGGGGTGCGTGCATTTAGAGGGACTTGACCTGGTCTCCATCGGTACCCCCGTTTTGCTACCACTGTAGCAATGTACTAATGGGTGAGATACTTGCTCAATGAAACTAGTTTTATGGTATTTTTTAAAGTGATCGAGCAAAAGTTTGCCAAACTTACATACATTACATTGTTTTTCTTGGTGGAAAAAGTAATGATTTATTATCTTTTTTGGATTGCTGACTTGGCGGGGAAAGTGTTACCACTTAGTGGTTTTTTGTTAGATTTCATTTATTTTTGTAGAAAATTAACAGTTAAAATAAAAATCCTCTTTTCTCTGATATATAGACCACGGCACAACTACATCTCATTTAATTTCAATAATATTGTTTGTGTTGAACTAAATTCTACATTTTTGGTCTTATCTGCTTTAAACATTGTATACAAGAGGTTAAGTTACCTTGATTCTGTCCAAGTAATCCTTAAGTCGTCATTAGTGCGACCGGTTTCGATGTCTATGGCATCATTGTCAAGCTGAACGTAAAAATCGCTCCTAGGAGGTCGTCATGAGTCTTGAAACACACGTAACACGTAACATATAACACGTACACAAACAAAAAACGATAAAATGCATGGCCACACAACTAATTTACAACACAGCGGCGGGTACAGGGTGTAGGTCTAGACTGACGCCGTGTCTTCCTCTCCCCACCTTCCCCCTCGAGTTATCAGCTGTTGATAATATTTCGTCGATGTTTAAAGCTGTCTCATAAATTATATTGGATTCAAATGAGGATTTATCATTTAGGATGTGTTGAGGGTGTTTTTTGCCGGCCTTGTAAATTTCGTATTCCTCAATAGTATCTAATAACCTTCCTCTTCCTTTATGGGATCGTAGAACTTCTAGATTGGTGTTAAAATCTGTATATTCATGGTTGTTATTAATTAAATGTTCAGCAAATGCGGAGTTAGGTTGGTTAACAGATGGTTTCGGGAGATGTTCTTTAAAACGTGTTTTAAATGACCGTGAAGTCTGACCAATATAAAAGCTTGGACAACTGTCACAATTCAGTTTGTATACACCTGAATTTTCTGTTTGGTCGTCACGTTTTGTTTTCTTATCTTTTAATACTGATGAAAGTTTATTTGAAGTTTATTTGAAGGTTTAAGCAGAGAAATGTCTAAAAACCAAGTTATCGTCTCATTTAAAACTTCAAATAAACTTTCATCAGTATTAAAAGATAAGAAAACAAAACGTGACGACCAAACAGAAAATTCAGGTGTATACAAACTGAATTGTGACAGTTGTCCAAGCTTTTATATTGGTCAGACTTCACGGTCATTTAAAACACGTTTTAAAGAACATCTCCCGAAACCATCTGTTAACCAACCTAACTCCGCATTTGCTGAACATTTAATTAATAACAACCATGAATATACAGATTTTAACACCAATCTAGAAGTTCTACGATCCCATAAAGGAAGAGGAAGGTTATTAGATACTATTGAGGAATACGAAATTTACAAGGCCGGCAAAAAACACCCTCAACACATCCTAAATGATAAATCCTCATTTGAATCCAATATAATTTATGAGACAGCTTTAAACATCGACGAAATATTATCAACAGCTGATAACTCGAGGGGGAAGGTGGGGAGAGGAAGACACGGCGTCAGTCTAGACCTACACCCTGTACCCGCCGCTGTGTTGTAAATTAGTTGTGTGGCCATGCATTTTATCGTTTTTTGTTTGTGTACGTGTTATATGTTACGTGTTACGTGTGTTTCAAGACTCATGACGACCTCCTAGGAGCGATTTTTACGTTCAGCTTGACAATGATGCCATAGACATCGAAACCGGTCGCACTAATGACGACTTAAGGATTACTTGGACAGAATCAAGGTAACTTAACCTCTTGTATACAATTCATGAAGTAATCCGGGAGGCAATACACAAGATGCTTTAAACAGATTAAAAACTTTTTGACACACGTACCAAAATTACTATTTAACAAACCCCCTGGGCTTGAACTCAGTTTCAAATTTCATCAATGGTCATTTTGAACAACATAAAATGCGTTGGTGTTACATAAGTGTTCTGATAATTAAACCCGTATATCTAAAGACTAGTGTAAATTGAGCCCTTATTAGACAAGTAAAAATTTAATCAAACAGACTAGGTTTGTTAGAAATAGCATAAGGCAAAACAAATACTGTATTGAAAAACTCATTTATCCTAAATTTACATATCACTTTTTAATTGCCTGTTTAACATACGTAGTGATTTTCCCGATTGTTTTATTTGTTTTAGTGTATCAAAACATAAAACAAACCTTAGTACTAGTACTAAGTTTCAAGTTCCTAGGCTTCATATGTTTTGATAAGTAGTTAAACTGTTAAAAATGACGAGCTGCTGTACCAGTGTACCATCGGTACACTGCATTTTTCAATGGAAAGTATCGGGGAATATCACTGCTCTAAGTAATTTTATATAGTAAGTAGTTCAAATCATTCGGTATACCTGAAAAAAATACTTTTAGTCCAGTAAATAGAGGTATGTTAACTTACAAACGGTCCGGTAAGTCTAAATTTTTTATATGTTGTCTAGGATTGTAAGTAGGTGTTTAAAATGAAAAATGCACAATTATCCACCCTCCACGCCCGCCGCCATATTGAAAAATCGATAAAATCTGTACTTTCTAGAGATTTTCGCCTATATCTCCGTTTTGGTGCGTTTTAGCAAAATATATGTAAAGTAAATGTTGTAGACAATTAAATTTCCTATAATATAAGTATAACAATTTGGTTCTAAGACTTATGGTTACGAAAATATTTAAATTTTTATACAATAAAAAATCAAATGTTTTGTTATTTTGACAAATCTCTATTAGTCCAAGCAAACTAAAAAAAAACTGACACAGGGAACCTTAAAGAAAATTGCAAGAAAACGTTTTATGGTTTTATTTTGTAGTGTTGGGTCTGCAGAGTGACATACTAAAAGTTGCCAAAATCGGTCTACAGAAAACCACCTAAAATCACGATAAAAAATGGCGGTTTTTCTCAACATTGGACAAATTTGAAAAAAATATACCACATGCATATTTTATTCAAAATTTTGTGAGATATTGACTTGGGACGACCACCGAAGTTTATTGGGTGGTTAGTACTTCATTTACATAGGGAACTCATTTTTGGCCGCCATCTTGGATCCGACATATTGGATATAAATAAAGAAAATTAAATGCAATGATAACGTTGTGACACATCATTATAAACCAAGTATAAAATATGCTCTTGTCATTGTATTTTTATTTTTTGTACTTTTATTTGGTCTTATGAGATTGCCGAATATGAAGTTATGATAAAAGATTCGTAGGCCCGTATTATGAACCATTTTTCTTGAGTATATCTATGTCCATATACCCTAAATCACTTCATTTTAAAAAGATAGTAGACAAGGAATGGTAACATGTACATATAGAGTAATGGCATTCTTTATTTGATTACTTGTATTACTTTTCAGCAGACTCTCTTTCAAAGTCTCAGCATACAACTTCGGACTCATCGTTTGGCCCATATCCTCCAAATACTTTGATCTTCTGTAAAGTAACCGATGATTTTTTTATTGTCAACTTAAATAAGTGTTTTTTTTATACCCTGTGCAATAAAAATACATTCATACAAAAATAATTACCTATCTTTCCATTTGTCCTTTTTTCCTAGCTTTGATTTTTAAATTCAACAATTATAGATTCCGTAACATAAAATGAAATACCTATATAAATATTAGGCATATATGTGAGTGGTTATAGCCTTTTAGGTAAAAAGTGGATTTCATCCCACTTAACGGCATTGCAGTGAGCGGAGCGAGCGAAACTCTTTGAGATCGGGCCTTATGCAAACTTTGCTATTGTATCCAGCAATAACCACTGAACATGTTGAAGCCAACTTTACCAGGGTTATTTCCACAAACATTGAGCATGTTATTTAACAAACATATTGATTGACAACTTACATAAAATGTTTACATTATCCTTATGGGTTGCTATGATGGTTACGATAAAACAAAAAACAAAAAAACAAACAGAAAGTATTACAAGAGATTAGGAAAATGCCACTGAATAAAAAGGTACAGTATTTTACAATTTTTTTTTTCAAATCTACGAATAGGGTATTAGAAAACGTTTATTTACTGTTTACTGAATATAGCACTGGTTTTGAAGCATGATTCATACAGGAAATGTGCGCTTATGTTGATAATATGTTTTCGACATACTGCAATTCCAGTGTTATTCTTATGGAGAAAAAAGCAAACGGTTGTAGTTTACTTGTTTATAAACATATTTTGATCAAACTTAAAAAATGTATTTATTTTATACTATTAGCCTATATTAACATTTAAGTATAAAACACTGAAGCTTGTTGTTAAGCTAATGTTATTTAAATAAGGAATAAATTTGGCATTTTTAATGAGATATGTTAGTAAAAATCCAATCTTAGTCAGCAGATTTGCTGCGACGGGGGTTTTATTATAACTATGCATATACAAAATGTACATAACTTTTTTATTATTGGATTATTGCAATAAAATTTGATTTGTTTTACGACGATTCCTTTAAATTTTATTTTGTATTGTTTTTTCAATGGATTGGTTTCACAAAAGTTTAATTTGTAAATTTGAAATGATGGCAATTTTTATGTTGGTAGAAATATTGTAGAAAGCATTTATTAACAAACGCCCTAAAGCTTATACCAAGTTTCATAAAAATACCACCAATAGGCTTCAAGTTATTAATGGGAAAACTGTGCCTAAAGAAAAAAAATTAGTTACTGAACATTTTTAAATTATTTTGGAATGTAAAAATATGACAAAACGGTGGTAACGATATAACAATGAAAATCACCTGTCTTTAAAAATCATAACCAAACATGAATCAACACATAGTGTTCAACGTTTACACCTACCTTGTTATCTTCGTAGTACATTCGAGGGTAATGAAACGGCTTTGGTTTTATCGGACAGAGATTATCAATAGCCTCACCGGCGACATCCACATGGACTACGAGCAAGACGACCGAAGTGTATTCATTCATATGCTTTCTCCTCAACCAACACTGGTAAATATAATAACATTATACATTCTCAATACTATAGTAAACTTGAGGCCAGGAGTTTCGTAGCAACTATTTGGCCATGGATATAATATAACAATTTATAAAGTAAGTACTAACTAAAACTAAAAACACTTGACTCATAGAAGTAATATGAGTTCTACGTTGTTGGTGTGGTAATAAGAGATTATGATTTTCATTCACACATATTATTAAACACTCAATGTTTGCTTTTTCTATTGGAGACTTAGTATGAATTTTGTTTAAGCTTAGAAGAATATGTAACCACTTAAAGTGTTAATTTTTTTTTATTGGTAGGTGGAATGCGTTACGCTGAGATACGTTGAGCGCACCTCCTGGAGCGCCCGACGTGCCGGGGGAGTGTGGGACTCCTACAGGTTGCCCTGAAGTATACCCACTAACGACCTACCCCCTCCCTATCCATGAGCTCGGGAGAGCGGTCGCAGCGTAGCAGGCTGATGCTGTGCTGCTTGAAGCTTGCTGGGATTGTCATCTCTAGAAGGAGTCTCTCATGCGGGGCGGCGTATCACACGTCGTGCTCCGCTGATTCTGGGGGTTTGCTTCTTAAAGGCTGCTGTTCAAGTGTTGTTAAAGCCTGATGGTATCACCAAAAGGGGTTTGCTACGCACCGTACATAAAACTGTCCAAGGTCACTTATTCACATGCTACTTCTATTCACACAAGTGTGTTGATTGTGGAAGAAGGGGAAAAAAATTTGATTTGATCATTGAAATCCAGAGAATAATGTAAATGTACTGTTACACGACAAAAACAAAGTCTAAATACGGTGTACAAAGGGATGTCCATGGTCACAAACTTACCTCACGAAATAACTTCAGTTCTTAAACACTATAAGACCAGATCGTCTAAATAAAAAAAAAAATCTTAACATAACAGTGTTTATAAATATGTATATGTTCAATCGATTAAGTTTGTATACCGATTATCAACACCTAAAAGAGAAATATAATTTCAAATTCTTCAATGACTTTGAAATAAATAGATGAAATGAGAAAAGCACATTGTTCAGATTTTAAAAATCACTTTGAGTAACCTTGAAAATATATATCCTACATATATCCTACGGATATATATCCTATATCCGTACATACTCGCTCGAGCAAGACTTTTTTTTAGCGAATGCAGAATCGAACTTGCCAAAGCAGGATCTTTCTACGCAGGAAGGTAAAACCATTTGTTTTTACTGCGGAGGTGGACTGCACCAGTGGCAGGACATCGATGATGGTTGGGAAGAACACGCAAAATGGTATAAAGTGCCCTTTTGCAATTGCACACAAGGGACAAGAATTTGTCAACGAAATGAGATCCAGAACCGAAGGAATCTCTGTACAAAAGAAAAGGATTCCAACAAACAAAATTGCGAAACCACCACCGATAGAAGAAGCGAACATTGTGTGTGTAATATGTATGGACAAAAATCTCAATTTACTCTTCTTGCCATGCAAACACTGTTTCGCTTGCGATACGTGTGGATGGCGATTTGGCAAATGCTGTTACTGTAGAGCTCCCATAACTTCTATGATTCAAGTGTTTTCAATTAAGGTATGTATACCGTTGCATCAGGGTTAAGTTTTCAAACAATTATACTACTTGTACAAATGTCACATTAAAACATGTATATTTTAATTTTCAATAGAGAAAAAAATGAGCATATCGGTACTTCTCATACTGCTCTTATACTACTGATATGCTGATTTTTTTTATCACCAACAATGACCTTGAGTATATCAATCCATCAACCCTAATACGTCACCATGACGTCAAAAAATCCATATCCTCCCCAAAACAAGTCACTTCTGTCCCACATGTAACATTATCATCACACGTCACTTCCGCGCCAGCACTGTCAAATCGATACTACTAATGGGGTGCCCTCAACGACACCCTAAAACACTTTATTAGCATAGAAACTAATTTACACTAATTGACACTATTGTAATTCTTGACGAATTAAAAATAAAGAATATTGTATTGTATTGTATTAACAATTTAATTTCTCAATAAGCCAAGTATTATTAATTTATACAATATATCGAGTTTTTATTTAAATTGCTGTATTAATACAATTTAGTTTATGTGGGGAGGAACTTCAACAAAAAATATGAATCGAATTCTTGTCCTTCAAAAGAAAGCCATAAGAGCCCTCGCCAACCTTGTCCCACCACAGACTTGCAGACTAGCATTCGCAAACCTAGGAATCCTCACAGTGGTGTCTCTCTACATACTTGAATCTATAAAGTATGTGAATGAAATAAACCCCCCAAGAAACCGAGACCTGCACCACTACAACACCCGTCATGGCTCCAAATTTGCACTACCAGTTCACCGAACAACTCTTTGGGAGAAAAAACTTTCCTACTCCGGCTGCAAGCTGAGGAACCATCTACCTGACTACCTGAGAGACCTGACTGGCAACAAGCTACACCAGGAGTTGAAGAAGTGGCTAATCGCAAGACCCTTCTACTCAATAAAGGAATTTTATGAAAATTAACATGTACAATTCACTATTCTATTGACACTATTGTAATTCTTGACGAATTAACAATAAAGAATATTGTATTGTATTGTATTTTTGTATTATAAAATCACTCAATTTTATGTCTGTTTTAAAGATGCGTTTGTACTTTATCGGTGTTTTTGTTTGGTATTGAGTTTGTTGTCAATGTGTTAAGGTGATCACCAACACAGCTCGCCCCAAACAAGGAGCCCCACATTTTAATACAGTATTATTTTAAATTGTTAAATATTTATAAAATAGCTTACCATTTTACGTGATATTAATAATTGCAGTTTATTGTACTTGCGGGAGTTAAATTCTTCAACGTCATTATCTTTGATATTGTGGAATAACGTGTACATAATCTTGCCTTTGTAGGTTTCAGATCTTTGTACGTATTCAGCCTAGAATACCCCAGAAAATAATAGGTTAATCAGACTTGTAGTCATTCATTCATTGAAGTAGATGTCTCTAAATGTACAATTGCATTAGGTTATCATACATTTTACCCTTCAACTTTGGTATTTTCTCCATCGGTACGTTGATTTGAAGGTTTTAACTTCGGTGGATGGATCATACATAGTAAAGAAGATTTAACATAACACTGAAGATTATATCTTAGATTGTATAACATTAGAATTTGCTATCGCATGACTGTATGCATTATGCTATACTGTTAAACATCCATCGCATTTAGTGAGAATATTTCGTACCTAGGGCCATAAATGAGGTTTGTTGAGGTGTTTTAAGTTCTCGACTTCGTCTCGAACTTAAAAAATTGATCTTGAGCTGCACAACCCTTTTGGCCCATGGTACTAAAGCTATCTTTCACCACGCTATACAAAACTGAGAAAATATGTACAATATACACACTAACAGTCGACACAACAGCAACTTTAAGGTTATGTGAAGAAATATTCAGGGGATTCGGTAAAAATAATAATAAATAGTTGCTAAGCAGCGGTGACAAAGAGCAAGTGTGGGCATTTATATAATTAGGTTGTTATTTATTAGATAAATATTCAGCCTCACCCGAATCTTAACACCCCTGATATCAAATAAAAAATAAACAGCTAATCTAAATGATTTGTAATTCGTATAAACATAATCTTAATTGATCTGAATTAGATCTAAATATCCATTAAAAGAAAGGACCTGTTACATCTTGCAGCCCAAGACTCTAAACGATTGGCCAGCAAAATACTTGATCTCGTTATTATAGTTTACTTGTAGAGGAAATCGTTAGATACTTACATAACTAGTTACGATGACTTCAGTAAACTGTAAAAAAGGTTTCAATTTTAATTAGAGCTAAGCATGTTAAACATATAGTGCAGCACTAAACGGAATAAAATAGCAGTTGTTTGAAATTGTATATCTGTTCTAAGGCTAGTCTAAGCTTTGAAACTACCATGTTACCAAAAGTAGTACAGACTTTCTAATAAAGAGTTAAATGACTTAGTTTTGGAAATTAATATTGAATGAATATTGCTCTAGATTTTTGTTTTTGGTGAATTTCCCGTATAATACTTAAACACTTTACTTTGAAATGGCGACCATACGAATGTAAGTACTAAGCCAAGTCTAAGTATGAGAGTGAAAATTTAAAAACGTACGTTTTCATGTCCCTGGCCTTTTACTTCGTAGATACTGGATTTGTAGTTTATTATTATGTGTTTTAATATTTTTTGGGACGGGGGCAACACGTTACACACATTTATTTGGTTTTAAATAGGTTCTAGGTATTTTTTTCGTATTTTTAAAGTCTCGAGATTCACGACCATGACGTGTCCCTAGGGTACATTTTCCAACTTTCACGCTGTTTTTAGACTAATTATTCATGCCAAAATATATAAAGCCATATTTTTATGTCATCAATGGTTATTAAACTTACAAAAAAGGAGCATATTATAATTTTATTGTCATTACAAACTGACTACCATGACAAAATAAGTCTGTCCCTCGATTTGGCGTCACGAACATTTGGGGAAAATTTTCAACTTTGGAGCACGACAGTGGCAAGCCTGGCGTCGATGGAGTCAGTTGGTTTTAGAGACTAGTTCGGGGTGTACGTCAGGATTGTAGTTCCGGTCGTTTCGAGTTGGAGGAATTACAAGATTAATAAAGGAAAGATTGTGTTTTTTGTAATTTTGGTGTGTCCATGACCGTACGTAGTCATTCGATGAAGTAGACATGGTGTTAATTTTTGTTTATAAGATATTTCAATTGCTAGATTAACCTAGAAGTCCACTTTGTATCCTCGAACATGAGGTGCAGGGCTACCACCAGAACAGAGCCAAATAACTCGTAATTTCACGACCAAAGTTTCACGACCATCGCGGGTTTTTTCACGACCAATCCAGCCTTATGGATTATAGTGTGTTTGGTCGTGACAATAACTTTAATATAATTGTAAATTAAACAGTTTAGTGCAATTGAAACACATATTTTTATTATAACTAACAGGATAATTGAAGGATTGTTTGGAAAGATTTAGGTTATTCCAGACAATTCACGACCGTACCGCTTGTCCCTGACCATCACGTTTATGATTTCTATCATAAAAATTTAAAAAATTAAAATATCGTCATATTTCAATGTTTTATACACAAAAGAAGCACACCTCTATACAAACATAACGATTTTTCCTGTCTCAGGTAAGTTTTTTCAGAGCTATACAAACTTAAAAAGATTTTATTGGCATTTTTTCAATTTTTTGAGCTTTTTTATTTTTTTCTAGAAAGACCATATATACCAAAAGCTCAGTGACCTTTTTATTGTATAAGGGTCATTAAAGTAAATTAGTTTATAGCAAAACATAGTAATAAAAATAATATTAACTATTTTTAATATTCATTTCATTTCATTTCATTTCATTTCATTTTTATTAAACGGCAAACACCATTTTACAAGTGGGTTTAACAAGATTACATTATACATTGTGCATTATACATACATACCAACGACAGAGCCATTTGAAAATGAGCAAAAAACAGTTTCCAGCTTAAACACAAAATCAATAAGACAATCGATAGAAAAATCAACAATAAATAACAATAAAAATAAATAAATAAATTTAAATTAAATAAAAAAAATAAATTCATTTAAACATCCGTTATGGTCATGACAGGATTTTGTGTTTTTCCACTAAAGATGCTCTTTTAAAAAGAAACTACCAAACATATTGCGTTACCATGGACATTTTATGAAACTTCAAATGTTAATGAAATAAAAAAAATAATAAAAGTTTTGAAAAAAGGGGGAAAAAATTTGCAAAGTGCTTTTCCTGAAAACGTACGTTTTTAAATTTTCACTCATGAATGAGATGAGTGGCGCGATATTGTTTTATGGGCAGTGACTAAAATCAAAATATTCCTTAGCCGTTTTACACAGCTGTTTAGCCCATACAGCCAAGAGACCTAGTTTATAGTGAAATCCAAACAACATTTTTGTCTTGTAATTAACGAATTGGTATAGTTATGAAGATAGTACTATTATCTATTATCTATTATCTTTGACTAATAATACAACTAGACATTCCATCCCCATGTCAAATTTGTAGCCAATTTCTTTTATCAAAATCTTCATAGTTGATCTTAGCCCCCAGCACATTGCGCTGATCTCAATTACTAAATTCTGTCGAATATACAAACCTTTTTCCCAAGTAAAACTTCGGGAATGACTTATGTAGCTCATAGATAATCTCCATTTAAAAACCATTGAACAGGAAAAGGTAACGTCTCCCCTTAAGGCAAAATAGTCCATGTTTGTAATAACAGGAAAACAAAACCGCATTGACAGCTTAATAGGGATACTCAATATACAGTACTATTTATTTTCCATAATATATTTAAAACGTTTTTAATTACCTTTTCATATTCTTCGTAGTACATACGAGGGTAACTCAACGGTGCTTTATCTATCGGACAAAGGTTTTCAATGAATTCCTCACCAACGACATCCACATGAACTACGAGCAAGACGACCGAAGAGTATCGCAGCTCATACTGTCTCTTCAACGAATTCTGGTAAACATTAATAACATTATAACCTAAATAATATAATAATAATAATAATAATAATAATAATAATAATATTATAATAATAATAATATAATAATATATAATAATATAATATATATTTCTAAATAATATATAAATCGTGAGGTCTGGGGTTTCCTAGCAAACTATTTGATCATGGATGTATAATAATTTATGTAAGTACTTATACAGGGCAAGAAACAAGTCTTGAAACGGCTTAATATCTTTCAACTTATATGTATGCAAAATATTTTTTCTGGCGTTACCATATTTTGACCTCTACCCATGAGGAGTAGGTACATAATCTTTAACGTAGGCATAGATTGATATGCACATCATCTTAAAGGGCTGGTCAATTGTAGTTCATTGCTGGAAACCGCAGCTCAAAAGGTTCATCCGTTACAAAATGGTGGCTATCCAAAGTTCTTGTGGAAAAGACCAGCTGTTCCATTCTAAAATGTAAGCATATGTTTTTAAGCATATCTAACTACTAGAGGGGAGCTCTTTGAATATTTATTGTAAAAAGTGGCTAAACCAAGTTCCAACTATAAACGCATCACATGTAGTAATTTTGAGGAATGTCGTAATGTGTATGTCGTCTTTTTAATAAGTTTTAAACATATTTTTAAATACTCTTACACTGTAATTTAAATCTTACTAGTTAACCGCCCGTGCTACGCCACGGTAATATTGTCAGCAATCAGAGACATAATAATTAACACTGTTTATCTTTGTATTTTATTTAGGGGCTGCTTAATTTGTTTACATGAAATAGAACTGATAATTGGCCTGTATAAACAATTTTATCTTAATCAAATCGATATATCAGTTTATTTGAAAAATAAATAGTATGCAAAACTGTGCAATGCTGATAACCTAATAATCTACTTATGTTCTGGAGATAATTTATTCATGTATATTCCTATACTGTATTCGTTGTTTTTTGTTCATTACATTGGTTGTATGAAATAAAGATAGTCACGCAACAACAATCGGTCGCATTTCACGAATCTTTGACCGTGTGAGTATGCTGGGTTTATGCGTACCGGTGACTAACCGCTCTGGGATCCCAAGACTCTAGCCCTGGTGTGGTACCGGTGACTAACCGCTCTGGGATCCCAAAACTCTTACCCTGGTGCGGTACCGGTGAGTAAGTCACTGGATCATCTGCACCGGTGCAAAAAACATGTTTCCAGAATGCGCCCAATGTGTTAAGGTGATCACCAACACTGTTCGCCTCAATAAAGGAGCCCCACATCATTTTGTTCAGTATCCTGTTAAATTGTTAACTATTTACAAATAATTGGCTTACCAGTGTACATGATTTTAAAAATTCCAATTTATTGAACTTGTAGGAGTTATATTCTTCAACTTCATCTTTGTTGATCTTGTGGAACAACGTGTATATGATCTTGCTTTTGTAGGTTTCATATCTTTGAACGTATTCAGCCTAGAATCCCCCCAAAAATAATTGTTAAATCAAACTTAGCTTGAGACGTAGGAAGTATTCTAGGTCTGCATTTCATTATAATGTAGTGATTCGTTTATTTAAATAGATGTCTCTAAATTTGCTTTTGCATAAAGCATTATTACGTTTATCCATTGGCATTTTCTTTACAAACTATTTTGTTATTTAATTTGATGGTTTTAACTTTATTGGATGGATCATACATGGTGAAAAATATTTGACAAAGATAAGACTAATGATAGTATCTTTTAAAAGTTTGTGTAACATAACATTAGAATTTACTATTGCATATTGTACATGCTCCCTGCTTTGTCGTGGCAGTGGGGCTTGCGTGCTCTGACAACCTCGAGAGGTATGCCGGCGGTTATGGTATCGTAACTACTAGTAAGGCCTCCCTTGCCGGACAGGTCTTTTTGAGGTAGGAGCCAGACAAAAAGGAATACCCTGGTCCTCCAGGTCGGGGGTTAGACACTAAATTACCTTTTTGAAGAAAAATAAACACAAGAAGATACCAGATACTATATATAGTGGCTGTGGTAGACACTATGCAGGCGTAGGATTTGCCATCAAAACACAAATTCTAGAGGCTGTGATAAAGTTTGAACCGATAAGTGAGAGAATATGTACTATTAGAATTGAGGGTAGATTTTAGAATATTTCTTTAGTAAGTTTCTATGCTTTGGCCTAAGAAAGTGGTGAAGATGATAAATATTATTTCTATTCCCACTTAAAAGATGTAGTGACAAATCTTCCTCGTTATAATATAATGATGCTACTAGGAGATAACGCTAAAATTGTTATGAATCTGTAGTTATTACTAGAGGATAAACAGAAGACTATAGAACGATATAAGAAATTAAATAATGAATTCACACGAGTTCTGAGAACAGGGAACAAGAAAAGGCAGCAGAAAGAGAACAAAAAACAATTCCAAAGATTTTTATAGGCAAGTTATTTTTTTAGAAAAGGTTACAAACCAAAGCCTTTTGGGATAAAATATTAATTATGAACCGTCGTGCGGGTAAAGACTGCAGTATTGAATGCTTGAAAAAATATTTTTGTAAACTCTTAAATGGAAATGTGGTTGAAAGAGATGACAATAGTATGAGTGAAATATTTGAGCTGCCAGGCGATCAACTTGTTCCTGAACGATTTGAAGAAGTATTATCATCTATAAAGTCATTTTAAAACGGCAAAGCTGCAATCAGTGAGAGTGCAATCAGTATGGATCTAAGCTTAAACACGGAGGTAAGAGTACACATGAATACCTATACAGAATGATTTGGAGGACTGAGAAGATGCCAGATGACTGGAAGGAAGCAGTTATCATCCCACTGCAGAAGAAATGTGACAAAATGGATTGCAAGAATTAGGCTATACATTTCACTATTAGAAACAGCTTATAAAGTACTATCCAAAATCCGGATGAACAGACATCCTAAAGTACATGTTAAAGAATAATTGGAGATCAAGATTTATGGAGGGAGGTCACCTAAAAACCATACAGTTGTGCTAAAAGATGGTATGAGTAAATTTTTTGTGTTTGACAAGACTACTTACATACTATTTATGGATTTCAGCAAAGCATATGACAGCATAATGTACACAAATGTGGTCCATATTTAAACTTGTACAAAATACATACAATTAATAAATTTAACATAACGTATGTAGAAGGTTCAAGATGCAAAGTAAAGGTGGAGAGAGAATGTTTTGAAATCAGTTCAGGAGTTAGACATGGAGATGGTCTATCTCCAATATTGTTCAGGTTGGTTATAGGGGAGGCCCGAAGAAAGGTGAAAGATACAGCAGGCCGTACGACGATGTAGAAATAAATGTGCTAGCATATGCAGATGATGTTGCACTGATTGCAGAAAGTAGAGAGGGTCTGACACATTTAGCAGAAAATCTATTAATAGAAGCCAGGAACGTAGGACTGATGAGAAATGAATACAAAACACAGAACATACAAATATTTAGGGCAGTGGTGATTGAAACAATACCACCAATAGTGTTGAATTATAGCTCTTATTTATCTAATAAATTAAAATACTTGGGAGTAACAATAGTTAAGTAGTACAAGTAATAGAGAAGAAAATGGAATTATTTAAGGGCAGCAGAAAGATGCCATAGGGGCCTGAACAAGCTGCTGCGCAGCAAATTTATAAGGTAAGGAAACTAATTAGGATTTATAAAACTAAACTACAACCTATACTTTATGGCTGCGAAGCTTAGGCTTTAACAAAGTATTCAGAAAGAAAGCTTATAACTTTTGGAAACAAGGTGCTAAGACAAATCTTTGGACATATTTATGAAGCAGGAGGACAAGGAAGAAAATAGAGAACTATAAGAGAAATTTATCATGAGCCAGACATAATAGCAATAATAAAAATTAAACGTCTGAGGTGGCTGGATCATGTAAGAAGAGATAAAAGAGACTTATTAGGGTTGACCAAATGGTAGAAGACTAGACTGTGGTGGAGAGACCAAGTCGTGAAGGAGGTAAGCAAATTGGGAGCAAAGAGGAAATGACAGAAGATCAAGAAGAATAAAGGTGGATTGTTGGCGAGGCTAAAGTAAAAGTTCACAGGACAGGAGTAAGTAAGTATATGACTGACGCATTCTATACTGATAGACATTCGTAGCTTTTTTTAAAGTAGATTTGGTAAAATCGTTTTTAACCTCTTGCCCTCTTGCAGCCAAAGACTCTAAACGATTGGCCAACAAAATACTTGGTCTCGTTGTCATAGTTTACTAGTAGAGGAAATCGTTCGATACTTACTTTGTCAGTTACGATGACTTCAGTGAACTGTAAAAAAGTTTCAATCCTTATTAGAGCACGTTAAAACATATGGTCTAGTACTAAACTAAAATAAAATAGCAATTGTGTGCGTTTTACACATTCTTCTATCAAACTCCTTTCGGGCTCCGCCCCAGTGGGTCTACAGTTTCCCGTGTTAACCTTATGAGTATTCATATTTAAAAGGAATAAAATAGTTTTTGCTACAGTCACCCGACAAAGTTGGCTTCCTTGTACTGTTTATAGTACAGAATGCTGCTAATTGCTGCATATTTATACTTTGCCGTACGGTTTATACTTTGTCGTACGGTTTATACTTTGCCGCACATCAGGATTCCAACGAAACAACACAAAACAGCGTGGTTCTATTATGCACGTAATCCGTGTACGCTTGCAAAATAGGTTGGCAACACTTAAAGATAATAATACTATGAGCAGCTGATTGACTATTATAACTACGATTTAACCTGTCATTTCGTGTTTATTTCTGAACTTTCTGGACTTTTCTTTTAAACGTTTTTAAAACATTCCTACGATCTTAATAAACAAGAAAATACCTTTAAAGCATTTTTTTAGGCGCGGAAACCACTTCAAATTACAAAAACATACAGAACTATATTCTCAAAACGCGGAGCACATTTCTTGCCGAGGAAAAATAGCGGAGTGATACGGACCGGGTACTACTTTCTCTAGGGCACCTATTTGTGTTGCCAGCTGAACCTAAAAACGTGTCGTATAGTGTTTGAAAGACTAATTATTTATATGCTTTATAGTGACTGTAGGAAAAATATAATGTGTAACACGAGTGCAAAAGGCCTTTGCTGCACTCAAGATCATTCCGCACGAGCCGCTGTGCAGGAAAGTGCCACTTTTCCCACTAGTTACACAAATAGCTATTTCCAGCTGTTTCAACTACACAAGTTGTTTCTATAATATTAAAAGATAGCATTAGAAAGTTATAAGGTTTACCAACAGGGTGCAGCACTGTTAATTTCTTTTCTAATTTATGACAACAGAGCTAATTTGAACCAAGCAGCGACAGAAAGCACAATGAGAACTGTCAAAGTAGGATAGTGTTTACAGTTAAGCTTATGTTTTTAATTTACAAATAATCTATTGATATTGTGTAAATATTTGATAATTAAATTATTTGTTTAGGTGTAGTGGTAGACCATTTTGGCTATGGTAGATGTGTTATACACTATATTGGACATATATGGCACATATATTTTCTCAACCCATGTCCTCTCCCATCGCAAACGCAAAGCACGAGTATAACTGCAATACGCACTTTATATTTATACGCCAACGCCGTACGAAGGACGGGTATTCTGCTAGTAGCTAGTTATTTTTTTTTAATACAAAATTCCGGAGCTGGCAAAACCAACCCTATATAAAAAAATTCGTTATTGAAATGTTAATTTTGTTATGTAAGATTGAGCCCTGCTTATTCCTTTACACCTTTTTGAGCTTCCCTTATATGGGACAAATATGGAGGACGATATTAATGTAACAATCAAAATCAACTGTCTTTAAAAATCATGACCAATTTGTAGTGTTCTCACATATTTTCACGCTGTTTTGACTTAACTTCAAAGTAGTCCAAGTGTGTAATGAATGAAAACAAAACCGCATTGAGAGCGCAGTAAGGATGATATACCCAATACATTTATTCTCACAATACATCTACAAACGTTTACACTTACCCTTGCATGATCATCGTAGTACATAAAAGGGAATTCCTTACTCAACGGAACTTTTTTGCCCATCGGACAGAGTTTTTCAATAAGTTCCTCACCAACGACATTCACGTGAACCATGAGCAAGACGACACGAGCGTAATCACTCCAATATCGTAACTTCACGGTAGTCTGGTAAACATATAGTTATTAGTGCAACTAGTGAGCAAAGTGAGCAATTGCCTCACTCGAGAGAAATCCTTACTCACGAGCCGTAGGCGAGTGATGATTGGGTTCTCGAGTGAGGCGATTGCACTTTGCACTCGAGTCGCACATTATGTTTTTCCTACAGTTACTATAAAACAAATAAATTGGTAAAGAAACGTGCATTCATGTTTCAAATCTGAGTGAGACAAAGTAATTAGAGTGAGACAATGTTAACATGTGATGAGCGAATTGGCCACTTTGCCATCTCAAATCAGTGAGAGAACATGTACATTGTTAGGTAACTGTAGGAAAAGTAACATTATACATTCTAAATACTATAGTAAACTAGAGGTCAGGTGTTTTGTGGCAAACTATTTGACCAAGGATATATAACAATTTAATAAAGCAAGTACAAGCACTTATATTCATTTCATCGAGTAAAACTAAAATCATTCTGTTGCATCAGAGATTAAAATACATAAAAAAACAGTCTCGGTCCTGTGACAGCCCAACAATCCTTAAATAAAGGGATGCTATCAATAAACTAAACTAACAATTGAATTGCTCAATCAGCCAAGTGTCATTAATTTATGCAAAATAATTAGTTATGATTTAAATTGCTGTATGTATACAGTTTAGTTTTGTGTTACTATAAGGGATTTTTATAATTTCACTAAATTTAATATATACTTTTTGAATTTTGGTAGTTTATAACTGTTTGTCGGTGTTTTCGTTTACCCAAAATGCAAAAAGATATACCTCTAATCACCTTTGTATATTCCGTCAAACCTCTTAAGATTATTTAATCTTATATATTAAAACGTGACAGGGTTTTTTTATTTCACGATTCTGAACCAACCACATGACGGATTTTTATGATTTTTGTGTTGGAAGAAAGATAATTTTGAGAACTAGGGAATGTCGAAGCCTTAATTTTAGTTTAGGGTTTCAGTTATTTAGAAATTAAGTTTTAATTTTCAAAAAGTCTAGCAGCCGACGCTAGCAATTTGAAGATTTTCAATGCTGGTTTAACTAACAGCTGGTTTACAACTGTCATTGAAATGTTTATGTTAAGAGTTGTTTGTTTACAAAAATATTGTTCGTTGGTGTTTGCCTAAACACTATTTCACTTTAAAATGTAGGTAGTTTTTCCCTACAGTGAAGGATCTGCGTTATCAGGAAATGTGTTATTTTGAACTAAACATCTCAAACACTTGCGTTTAATCAAGTTTTGTCGTAAATGCAATCTGTGTAAGTATTTAGTTTATGCATTGCAAATTTCAACTCATATTTGGGAAATATTTTTTCAGCAGTTTATCGCTTAATTGTTTAAGATACAAGTGGTTTACGTGTTGATACTTCTTTTTCTGTATGTTTGAATGTGAGTATGTCGGCATAGTAAAATTTTGGTTAGTAATGAAAGCGTCAATCGGTGTAGTAGGTCTCTATAAAACTGTCAAATAAACTGCAACAGAAACCAAAGTTGATTCATACCATACCAACCGTCCCCGTAGTACTGATGATTCAGAAACTTGGGCACTGACCAAAGAACCGAAAAACCTTAATGCTGGATTAGATAATAAAGTGCAGAGAAAATATACAGACCAGTTCAAGATAACGGCCTGGAGATCGAAATAAAAAAGAACAGAGAGCTAAGAAAAATGTGTTAACACCCAAATATAGGGATGCTTTCTAGAAGTAGGTAAAGCTTGGATGGACAGGCCCTACATAAACTTTTAAAAAGTATATTCCAAGGAGTACCACACGATAGACGGGAAATATCGAGTTATGAAATGCATCCTCAGACTCGGATCTAAATTTTGAAGAGGCAGGTGATAGAAGAGAATCCTCATAAAAGTTTCAGTGGTCACGGAGTACCACTGGAGTACTTGGAGTTTTTGATAAGGTACGGTAAGTACATAAGTAGTACAGTATGCAATTAGAGGTGGCATGTAGCTACTCTACTCAAAACCAGTGTGAATCGGTCGCCAATCTCACATCAAGATTTTTTCAAATCGACACAAATATGCTGTTTTATGGTAAAATTAACGGATTTAAAATGCATATCGCTATATTTTGGGTCTATATTCGAATGGAATAAATAGGTGGTCACGTTACATTTGTTTATAAGGTGATCTTCCCCATTAAAACTGCCAGAATTTGTTTCTATGCGTGTAAACTATATGTTCTGAATTATTCCGTTTTAGTTGACAACTCGATTCCCGTACGTAGGACGGGCCACCAGGACTAATCAGATGAAAGAAATATATGGCCACGTGGTATTAGTTTACAAGATGATTTTCCCTAATAAAACTGCCACAAATTTTCTTTATACGTGTAAAATAGCTGTTCTGAATTACATTAAGATACAATCGACTATTTTATTCCCGTATGTAGGACGGGCCAATAGCTAGTTAATTGTAATAAAATATTTACACTTATACTGTTGATTCAAAAGACGGGTATAACAGATCGTTTAGTCCGTCCGTTTGGCTATGATACCAGTCTTATAAATTCAATGGTATTATAGCCAAACGAACGGACTATAAGTGTTGATCGATTTCGATTGGACATTCCAAATCAAAATTAGACCCAATAGGCAAATGTTTTCGTTTTACATTGAGTTCGTTGTCATTGTGTTAAGCTGGACCAAGACTGTTCGCCTCAAAAAAGGAGCCCCACATTTTGGGACATTAGCCTGTTAAGGCGTTAACTAATTATAAACAATTAGCTTACCATTATTGTTGATTTGAGATATTCCAGTTTATTCTTCTGGTTGATTGTTATGGCCATAGCTTCATCATTGTCAATCTTGTGGAAGAACGTGAAAATAGTTTTGCCTTTGTATGTTTTAAATCTTGCATCATATTGAACCTAGAATCCCCCCAAAAAATAGGTTAATCGAACTTAGGTCGAGACGCATTAGGTGTTCTAGGTCTGCATTTAATTATATTGTAGTCATTCGTTCATTGATGTCTCTAACGTTACATTTGCATAAGGCAAAAATACGTTTTGCCCATTAATTTAAGTATTTTCTTTAAACCATTTTTCTGTTATTGTTATTTAATTTGATAGTTTTAAATACATTGGATGGATCAAACATAGTGAAGAATATTTTACAAATATATGATTGAAGATTATACTATTGCTTATGACTACATGGATTCTATACTGATAGACATTCATCACTTTTTGTGAAGTAGATTTGATAAAATAATTTTTAACCTTGCCCTCTTGCAGCCCAAGACTCTAAACGATTGGCCAACAAAATACTTGGTCTCGTTAAGTTATCATAGTTTACTAGTAGAGGAAATCGTTCGATACTTACTTTATCAGTTACGATGACTTCAGTGAACTGTAAAAAAGTTTCAATCCTTATTAGAGCACGTTAAAACATATGGTCTAACACAAAACTGAAATAAAGCATAAGTTATTTGCAATTTTGTTTCTGTTGAAGTAGGTTTTTAAGGGAGGCCTACTTTGATTTATTCCGCATGTTATACTGAATGTTTTTGGTATTTCATGTAAAAAAAAAATTATGTTCGATAATTTTATCTAATGGTAGGCCTAATCAAAACCGGAGGTATGTTAAACTTTAAAAACTACCATGTTTCCAAAACTCGTATGCATTTTCTAATAAAGAGTTGGATCAATTCGTTTTGAAAAAACAATATTGAATAAATATTGCTTTACATTTCGGTTTTAATCAAACTTTTTTAATTATTAACATTTCTCTCGAAAATGTTTTTTTTTTATTTTAACCATACAAAGTTTAAAGTTTTTTATTTGGATTTAGCATAGGCCTACGGTAATAGTTATGACAATTAAAACCCCCAGCTTGGATTAATTGACTTGAAATATCTTATATAGGAATGATCAAATCTATTTCTGCTACTGTAATTTTCCGATCTAAAAAACTCCATACGTCCAGTGGACTTCCCCTAGTTTTTAAATACACTTAGTTAAAATAGCCCCAAACAATAAGATATTGCTCATAAAAGCATGAGATTAAGGTCTCTGGGGGGGGGGGGTCATTAACGTACTCTAAAAGTAGTGCTTGCTTAAACCAGAGGTTTTTTAATCAAAACCATAAATAAGTTAAACGCTTTTGTATCAAACTCCAATGCAATTTATCTTTAAAGAATCATGAAAATAGGATTAGTTATGTACGTAAGGAATTGAATTTATTTCTTGGTACAAAACTTAATCTTTTTTTTACTTCAAGTAAATCTTCAGCATGAGCATACTCTCTAAAATGCACTCACATGATGGATTTTCTGAAGACAAATAAGTCTGATCCAAAAATACATTGTTTACTATAAAGACTAATGTAATACAATTAACGTTATTACTACTTCAACTGAATGCAGCTGTCCATATTATGTAAACTATAAAACAAAATGCATAAAAATTGTAAAATTTCCCCTTAAATAAGAGTGAAACAGTGCACTCAAACGTCTTGTTCTATGTTTTATAACAATAATCAGATGTTTTACACTTGTTAATGTCAATGCAAAAATTATTCGTTTTTATGGCCTATCTTTGGATAAACGTCGTTTTGACAGTTAGTTGGTAAATTAAAAACAGCTGATTGAAAATGGTTGCTTTAAATTCTAATTTAGATCAAAAAACATAATATTTTCAAATATTTTTTCAATGCTAAGCCAATTTTACTGACAATAAATTGCCTCAGTACTTCGGGGATTACGTTATGGTGGGAGAGAGCAAAGTTAAACTAGGGTTGCTTTCAGAGAGGTGAAAGCCAGTTGAGCGGAACAAACGTGATTTGATATTTGTATAAGTAACTAAATGTAAAAAGTCAATAGATTTATTGATTTATTTACTAATGCTGGTTTTATTGATTAAAATTATAATAATTCAAATTTACCTCTTCCAGAAGTGCATTATGGTAGTTTTGACCAGGAAAATATTACAGTAGTTGGAATCTGATATTAACATCCAAAAAGGGCATTAAAGTATAAAAAAGAGAAAGGAAATTAAACATTCAAATTCAACTGTAGCCTACAACAAAATCATTGGAGTTCATGTTTCACCCTTACAATTGGTTCAAGTATTTAATGTATTATAATGTTATTTAAAATTATTTAATAAAATTTAATTTTAGGATCTACATATTGAGGTTGTATACAGCATATGTATACAGTCATTACATATTTGAAACCATGTTTGAAGTGCGACATTTATCGGTTTTTTGCTCAAAATGGTGTACAGGGATATCTATTCTGACACATAAATAATATATATCTGAGTGTGTTTCAATATTAGAATTATTTGTTTTTCATTATTTGATCAGTGTAGTGAAACAAAATTGTTTACAACATTTGAAGGAAATTGTCGATGCCGTTTTTGAGATCTTTGTGCAAGCATACAAACATACATGCAAGTAAACATTGCTCGTATAAGAGTATAGGATAAAAACCCTGAAGCAAGCTATTAAAACTTTCCTTCGATTTAAATTAACCTTATTGCCCAGATTTATTTTAAGCAGCTGTTAAACAAATAATTGCGTTTTCAGTCAAGCTTATGAAAAAATATGCCAGATTGATCTGCTTAGATTTTGAATTACTACGTACCATATGCATCTCAACCATATTATAGCGGTATTTAATAACGCTTATAGTATATTAGACGTGCATGAACAGCAGACTATTTAGCGAGGATCTGAAACTAGGCTTACCTTATCCTGCAAGTCAATCAATACACCACTTCTATAATAATATTGTATTTTGTCTAACATTTGTCTGAGATTTTTGTCGGAGACAGTTAAGAAAACACCATTTCTAATATTGTTTCTTGCGAACGCCTTTGCAGCTGTAATCTGAATAAATCATAAAATATTTTAGTCACATAAGTACTGTATTTAGGCTTTTAGTTGTCAACATAAAAACGTTAAATTTATTTGGAGTGCAGTGTATATTACTTTTTCCAAATTACACAAAAATTTGGAGTGCACACTCGATACTGTAATGCTATTTTGAGACCGCTAAACTTGCCACCGTAACAATCTTTAGCAGCCTCGATGTACAATGACTGGCTAATGAGCCTCAGAAAGATAGCAACATGGTTCATACATGGTATATCATCGATGGGACGTAGTTTGACGTTTGGTAAATCTTGCAATGCCCATTCACTAGTACGGTATAGTGAATTCTATTAGGAGGTCTTATACAATGAATGTAGGATGAAAAAAGATCGAATTAAATATATCAAGGAACTGAAGTAATATATGAGGGGCATTTGAAATTCAACATTAGTTACAAATGTTGCATACTTTTATTATGTTCAAATTACAAGCAGATAACTCACCTTATCTCCATCATTGCGTATTGAAATCGCAATTACTTTGTCCTTGTACGTTTTATACCTTGTTTCATAATCGGACTAAAACACAAATTATAATGTCACAATCACAGTTTTACCATTTTGCAAGATAGTATTGCCAGCGTATTTATCAGAATCTATTCAACATAATAGACCATAGTTAATTTTAAGCTAAATAGCAGAGCTGAAATCAACATTTTACCTAAACATGTTGTTGAACAAATTTGTTATTGGACTTTCTAGTAAAACAATTAGAATAGTTCAACTTCACTTGTGGTGTACTCACGTATAGAAACATTACAACCAAGGAAGACTTCATCATTGTAAACAATCTGAAACTTATCCCGATAGTTGGATTTGAAACTTGTGTTGAGTTAGGTCTAATCAAAAGGAATACTCTTATCTCAAAGATCCTTTCGGGCTCCACCCCAGTGGCTCTGGAGATTCCCATGTTTTCCTTATCAGTTTTCATATTTAAAATTAAGAATTTTGCCAGCTGTTTCAAATAAACAAGTTGGTTCTATGATATTAAATAGCATAAAAAAGTTATCCGGTTTACCAATAGGGTGCAGCACTATTACTTTTTTCATTTATGAAAACAGCTAATTTGAACCAAGTAGCGACAAAAAGCTGTGATACTCAATGGGAACTGACAAATATGATTGTTTATAGTTATGCTTATGTTTTTGATTTATAAATAATTTGTGATATTGTGCGAACATTTGGTAATTAACTTTTTTCTGTTGTTTAGGTGCAATTGTATAACATTATTATGGCTATGGTAGAATGATGTTTTATACTATAGCATACCGTATGGGTACTCTGCTAGTGAATTATTATGTTAGCCTAAACTCGTTTGGTTACAAGTTTTTTTTACAAACTTTTACAATGTTGTGACGGAGCTATCTTAAAAGTTATACTGTAGTAACCTAAGTTATACTGTAGTAACCTAAGTTATACTCTAGTAACCTAAGTTATTCTGTAGTAACCTAAGTTATACTGTAGTAACCTAAGTTATACTGTAGTAACCTAAGTTATACTGTAGTAACCTAAGTTATACTGTAGTAACCTAAGTTATACTCTAGTAACCTAAGTTATTCTGTAGTAACCTAAGTTATACTGTAGTAACCTAAGTTATACTGTAGTAACCTAAGTTATACTGTAGTAACCTAAGTTATACTGTAGTAACCTAAGTTATACTGTAGTAACCTAAGTTATACTGTAGTAACCTAAGTTATACTGTAGTAACCTAAGTTATTCTGTAGTAACCTAAGTTATACTGTAGTAACCTAAGTTATACTCTACTAACCTAAGTTATACTCTAGTAACCTAAGTTATACTCTAGTAACCTAAGTTATACTCTAGTAACCTAAGTTATTCTGTAGTAACCTAAGTTATACTGTAGTAACCTAAGTTATTCTGTAGTAACCTAAGTTATTCTGTAGTGACCTAAGTTATACTGTAGTAACCTAAGTTATACTCTAGTAACCTAAGTTATACTCTAGTAACCTAAGTTATACTCTAGTAACCTAAGTTATACTCTAGTAACCTAAGTTATACTCTAGTAACCTAAGTTATACTGTAGTAACCTAAGTTATTCTGTAGTAACCTAAGTTATACTGTAGTAACCTAAGTTATACTCTAGTAACCTAAGTTATACTCTAGTAACCTAAGTTATACTCTAGTAACCTAAGTTATTCTGTAGTAACCTAAGTTATTCTGTAGTAACCTAAGTTATACTGTAGTAACCTAAGTTATACTCTAGTAACCTAAGTTATTCTGTAGTAACCTAAGTTATACTGTAGTAACCTAAGTTATACTCTAGTAACCTAAGTTATACTGTAGTAACCTAAGTTATACTCTAGTAACCTAAGAGCTTACTAATACTCACTATTGAATTCAAAACATCTGTTTCAATCTGAAAAAAAAAAAATACAAAATAAGTAAAATTACGAAATAATACGTCTATTTATCAGGCCCGTCGCCACATGCATAACACAATGCTAACAGTTCATGCATTAGAACACGTGTGCCAGACACACGGGTTCGTCTAAATCTTTGAAAAGTAAATCTTTGTTAGTTAGTATAGCGACTTTATTGGCTGTGAGGATGAAATGGTGACAAAATAGCATTAATTCGGGGTTTTTCAACATCAAAACTCCATGTTTTTTTTACTCAAAAGGAAGATAGTAAAAAATAACTGTTGTTTTCCAACTTTGTTGACAAGTGTAGAACAAAGCACACTTGAAAATGTTGAAACCTAATAGAAATGCAATGTTGTTTAAACTTTTTTTCATCACCGATAAATGGATTTACCAAACAATATAAAAACAAAGAATGAGTTAAACCAAAATCCATCAGTTGAAAAAACTCCTAAAAACCAAGACATGTTTCGGTATAATATATTTTTTCACTTAGGTCTCGAGTGACTCTTTCCGTGACAAGCCGACGTTTTTGTTTCATCTTGGTCAGATTATAAGCTTAAAGTACGGTACACTCTTGGTCATATTTCGTTTGCACACAATCTGTTGCTCGACAAAAATAATAGGTTGTCTGTGAAAATGCAAATAGCCGCCACTCATGCAACAATAAAATACAACTATTGATGACAGGTTTTTTTAGTTTTAAAGGTGTATTAGTTTTGTTTTATTTATATAGATTTGTAGAAAGTATGTTGAGTAAACAAAGTATGAACAAGAAGGGGTGTGTAAGAAAAGAAATTAATACTTAACTCACCGTCCAAGAAGTTTTTTTGCCGGTTTCTTTCTGAAACAATTATGGACGGTTTATTTTTTAAAGGGCGTGTATCCATAATAGAGAAACTCATAATATTAATATATATAATAGGTATATAATTTTTATTGTGTAAATATCCGTAGGCTATTATACAAATTTGTGTGTTTGAGGAAGCTCATTCGTGCATTTGTAAGCTGTGCTATGTCTCTTCACTTGATATATTTTCTAAACAATTATTATTATTATTATTATTATTTACCAGTCAAGTTTCCATGAATATAGCACAATTTTCATATAAGGAAAGGTAAGGAGTAAATGTACCAAACACAATCATAATTTATTATAGGTACTATTAAAGTGATACAATCAAATTTCGTGTAAATGGTTAAGTCCATTTACTAAATAAAAATATTGGCATATGGCACATCAAAATTGAGCTTAGAGTGTGTAGATTTGCCGAAAATTATTGGTATGGACAAATGTGTCAGGGGCTCTGCCCCACAGGCCGATTTCCAAAGGGCTGCGTTTGTTATGCTTCCAAAGTTTGAATAATTTTATTTTCCTACAGTTACCTAACGATGTATATGTTCTCTCACTGATTTGAGAAAGCAAAGTAGTGGCCAATTCGCTCATCAGTGAGACAATGTTTACATTGTCTCACTCTAATTACTTTGTCTCACTCCAGATTTTCAACGTGAAGGCACGAAAGTGGCCAATTCGCTCATCAGTGAGACAATGTTAACATTGTCTCACTCTAATACTTTGTCTCACTCTAGATTTGCAACGTGAAGGCACGTTTCTTTACCAATTTATTTGTTTTGTGGTAACTGTAGGAAAAATACAATGTGCAACTCGAGTGCAAAGTGCAATCGCCTCACTCGAGAAAATATTCCTCTAGTTGCACAAATAACTATTTCTTTATTTAATGAAACAGCTGGGCAATGCAATTAATTGGTGTTTCTTTATTTACTCGAAAAAAGATGTTTGTGGTGCTAGGAAATCATCGATCTCTATTACTTACGAAATATGTGCATTATTTAGAGGGTTATGTTCGGACAATGAAAGGTTGTACAAGTTTTTTAAGAGTATTGCTCACAGTTTCATTTGTAATGTATATGGTAAAATACATGTAAAGAGGCATGACTAAAATTGAAGGATTGTCTTAAAACATGTCATTCATGAAACAGAAGCATTAAAATCAAGTAATTTATGTTATTGCTACACTAAGGTATGTTGTCATATTCTTTTGGATCTACTGACATCAAAAGTAGGGTTTATAAAAATTTAAACTTTTAAATCAGTCTTTTTCAATTCTTATCTCATCTTTTCAAACTAAATCATAGAGTTGTTGTATTTTTAAACACACATCAGCAAACACTTATAGAAGTCTAGGTCACATTTTCTTCCCGTTGCAAAGCACGGGTATAGCAGCTTGTTACCTCTAAATCTGGTGAAAACCTTTTTTGTTTAATGTGTGTTTAATTGAATTAACACTTACAAGAACACATGTATGTTATAAAGTAAAAGAACACATCCGGCCATTTTGACCATGTTATGCATTTTACCTGCTTTATTTTTTATATATATAAGTTAACAAAAAGTAAAACAAAGATTTAAATGAACAAATACAGTTTATTACCAATTGCCTATGAAATATCTATTACATTTTTGAAAATTTGAACCAAGAAAAAATACTACTTTTACTACTTTTGAGTTTTGTTTATACTGAAAATTTACTTTTTTGTATTTAAAAGTTACCGTACTTTTAAAATTTCCCAAATGTCCATCGTTTCGTGGCTGTTGCTTCTACACTATCTTCACAATACTTTCGATAAAATATTTAGACCGCGAACATCTACAGCAACAGTTAACACTTAATTTCACAGTCGTCAAACTCAAGTTTTAAAGTTCAAAATAACTACTGTATTGAGATTGCATGTCAGAATTAATCTGAATTTAAGGCAAGCCTAGTGAATAAACTATAAAGAGTTGTGTTGAAGAATTCATGATTTTACTCACCTCCCAAAGACCTACCGAAATTGGTGACTGGAAAAGAGGTTAAAACATGTTTGTAGTAAATTATTGTTTGTATCAATGTTACGTGTATCAAAGGTAAAGCTACTCAAAATAAAATAGATTTATATGTCTTCTACAATAAAGAAGCTTTAACGTTGAACTTACAAATATATGCATTACAACTTTGTACAGCAGTATTTGCCTCTGAATTACTTAAACATGATATTTTTCACTCGTATACGGTACAACTATAATTTCACACCGCCATTAAAAGTATAGTATCCAACGAAATTATTTATGTAATTATAAATTTGTAATTTGAGATATTTAATATAGAATTAAATGAAAATTGGGGTCCAAAAGGATAAAATTATTTATCCCGAAACCTTAGGATTCATTTGAGTTCTTCCAACTAAAACTAGATTTTTTATATGGGTATAACACAAGTTTTAGTTACACTACATCGAAAGGGACAATACCAAAATTAACCAAAAACAAAGCTAGAAAACGAAATAATATTTATGTAAAGATAACCTCTCAAAACGACTTCCAGCTTATTTTGAATTCTGCTAATGCAAATAAGCAGCTGTTTAGTAAGCGATTCAATTATTTCGTATATTGCGATTGTGTTATTATACCATTGATATGTCGAGCAATCGACAACAATAGGCTAAAACCTTACCTTACAAATCGATTGTCACAATCGAAATTTTCAACTGTTTACAACAGCTGATTTTTACTCCCTTGAGAGTAGAAATTCTACTTTAGACCCGCAACGCATGCATTAAAAACGATTGTTTTTGCTGCAGTATGACGAAATAGTATATTTTGTACCTAGGGCCGAAAATAAGGTTTTGCCTGCTCGAGATAGTTTTTAAGTTCGAAACGAAGTCGAGAACTTAAAACGATCGAGAGCTGCAAAACCATTTCGGCCCATGGTACGAACGCTATTTTTCACCACACTATTCCCTATTACCACTATTCATAACAATAATAATGCACACTGATAGTCAATGTTTAGTTTTATAAAAAGTAAAAAGTATTTTTTTAACATTCAAGTTGTTTCTCTTTATTCCATTACTGTTTACAATTCAATATCATTGCTTAATTATTATTGACAACATCTGTTAAACAAATTATTTTAAACAAAGACTTGTAAGTTAATATGTAAGTAAGTAATATACAAACATCTCCCTTTTTTAGCCGTCTTGACTGTCCTTCTTTTTTAACATAGATTTAATTTTTCTTATATGGTGTGTGTTTCTTCTTAAAACAATATTACTTTCTAATTTTACCAAATAAGAACGAGGTTCCGGTAATTTTTTAAAAATCACACCATGATTCCAAAATTTGGTTTTAATATCCTGTACTAAAACCTCTTCTCCCACTTGGAATTCATCTTCTTTCTTCAAGGCTGATCTGTTATACATTTGTTCTTGATACCTTTTGCTTTCATTTATGCTTTCATGTACCTCAAAAGAAACTGTTTTAGGCTGTAAATAACTGTTTGGTATAGGTAGTTTTGATCTTATGTGTCTGCTGTTTAAAAGCTGAGAAGGTGAATAGTCCAGGTTTGCAACAGGTGAGTTTCTATAATTTAATAAGAAGAGTTCAAAATCCTGTTTACTTTCAGCACTCTTCCTTAACATTTGCTTTACAATTCCTACAGCCTTTTCTGCTAGTCCATTACTTTTTGGATAGTGAGGACTTGATGTGATTATTGTAAAATTCCAATTTATAGAAAACTGTTTCATTTCATAGCTATTAAATGGTTGATTATCAGCCACCAAATACATAGGGATCCCATTTCGACTAAATAGCTCTTTGAATTTACCAATTATTGTATTACTGTTTTTACTGTTCAACTTAAATACATCAATCCAACGTGAATAAAAGTCAACAGTTACAAGATAGTATTTACCTGCATATTCAGCAATATCAGCTCCAATCTTGATGAAGGGTATTTGAGGAACACTGTGAGCTTTTAAAGGTTCATTCAATTTTGAACGTTGGTGTTTCATACATATAGAACATTGAGATACTGTATTTCTTATGTCTGATGACATTCCTGGCCAGTAAAAAAATGAATTGGCAGTTTTCAATATTTTAGTTGTTCCCAGATGAGTCTCATGCAGGTGTGACAGCATAAATTTCCTGAGTTTACTTGGTATTATAAGTTTGTCATTCAAATAGAGTAATCCATCTTGATGAGTTACATCATTTCTCATATTGAAATAAGTCTTTAGGTCACCATCATTAACAGATTTTGGCCATTGGGTTTTACTAAATTGTATAACTTTGTTTAAAACATCATCATTTCTTGTTTCCTCTTTAAATTGCTCGAGTCTTTTATCACTAAACTTCACTTCAGAAGATTCAATACAATGCACAATACCTTCCAAGGGTTCATGCCATTCAACCTCATCTTTAATACCATTCCGAGATAAAAAATCTGCAATATGCATGTTTTTACCTGGCAAATATTTTAGTTTAAAACTGTATATCATTAATTTAAGTCTAAGTCTTCTTATTCTGTTATTGACAATTTTAAACAATGGCTTATTAAAAATTGACAAAAGAGGTAAATGGTCAGTAAAAATTGTTACATTTTCATTTCCATATATATAGTTGTGGTATTTCTTGCACGAAAAACAAATAGCTAATAATTCTTTTTCAATTTGAGCATAATTATTAACTTCTGCTGTGGTCAGACTTCTAGAAATGTAACTAACAGGCCTGCCATTTTGCATGCAACAACACCCTACAGAATCCTGTGAAGCATCACATTGTATTTCAATAGGAAGAGATGGATCAAAATTCCCTAAGACCTGATTACTACAGAGTGATTGTTTGATTTTTTCAAGAGCATTAGAATGATGTTCATACCATTGCCAGGGAACATTCTTTTTTAGTAAATCTCTAAGAGGTGATGCTATTGAAGCCAAATTAGGGACGAAATTTCTGATGTAATTTACCATACCTAAAAATCTTTGTAATTCTACCTTAGATGTAGGAGTTTTAAAATTCTTTATTGCTTCTATTTTTGAAGGATCCGGTTGCATCCCTTGTTCACTGAATATAGCACCAATATACTTTACCTTATTAACACAGTATTGCATTTTACTATAGTTAAATCTAATATTATACTGTTTTGCTCTTTCCATTACCTGCTTTATAATTTTATCATTTTCCTCTTTAGTATCAGTAGCAATGCACAAATCATCGAAATAGATTGAAAGACCTTTAATATCTTTGAAATATTTGTGTACCAATCTTTGAAATATTTCAGGTACACAAGAGAGGCCAAAAGGTGCCCTCAAAAATCTGTAAGTTCCAAAGATTGTACTGAATGAACACATTTTACTGGATTCTTCATCTAGTTTTATATGATAAAACCCGTCTTTCAAATCTAAAATTGTAAAGTATTTCTTATTACTTAAGTTTGGAGCCAAGTCCTCTAGCAAAGGAATTGCATACCTCTCTCTTATGACGTATTTATTAAGTTGTGTAGGATCAATACATATTCTTAAAGATCCATTTGGCTTTTCTAGTACTACAATATTATTGACCCATTCAACCGGCTCTTCAACTCGCTTAATAATTTCATTGTCAACCAGCGAATTTAATGCCTTTTCAAATTTATCTTTAATTTTGTATGGTATTCTTCTAGCAGAACTTACTTGTGGTACTGCATCTTCCTTTAATTTTATCTTACAAATGTCAGGGATACAACCCACACCATCAAAAACATCTTTATAATCTTTATAAATTTTTAATTTTTCTTCATCTTCTATTACTGATAAACCATTAGCAACAGTATCTACCTTCTTTATTAAATTTAAACTTAGACAAGATTTCAGCCCTAGGATTGGAGTACATTCTCCACTGACCACAACTAACTTTACAACATCCATTTTATTTTCTGTCTCTATCTGTGCATCTATGTATCCTACTGGATTTATTTGAAACCCCCCGAATGAAATTAGTTTGCTTAGGTTTTTTTTCATCCTATTTTGTAGTTTATTTAGTTTTACAAAGGAATATGGGACAATGTCTACTTCAGACCCAGTATCAAGTTTCATTCTTACATTGAACCCTTCAACTTTAACACTTTTATACCAAGCTTTTTCTTGATTACCAATGGAATCAACTACACAAACTGTGTTAATCTCATAGCCTTGGCAATTAGGCACAAAAGAACTACTACTTTGATCAGTTACTTCGTTACATTTCTCATTAGAAAGAATATTTAAGTTTGTCCTACACACACTTGCAAAATGATTTGACTTTTTGCATTTACTGCAGATCTTACCCCAAGCTGGACATTGTTGTTTTCCATGACTACCACTACATCTATAACATTTAAAACATCTTTTACCTGTGGGATTCCTCTCCTCCAACTTACGTGTTCCAGCAAAGGTTTTAGTTACTTGATGAACTTCTTTCTTATCATCATGAATATTTGTAATTTGAAGTACTTCTTTCTTCTCATTGATTTCATTCATATTTTGTTCGGTTAGCTCCATTGTTCGGCAGGTTTCTATTACCTTTTCCAATTTTAAATCTTCTCTCAAAAGTTTTTCTTGGACATTTTTTGAACTTAATCCCAGTATTATCTGAGCTCTCAACAGTTTTTCCTCCTGTTCTTCAAATTTACATGGTTTGACCAAATTTTTTAGGTCCGAATAGAATTTATTAAATGGTTCATCTTGTTGCTGCTTTCTTTTGAAAAACTTATAAATATCCATGATTTCATTCCTTCTTGGCGTGCAATACTTCTCTAGTGTCTCTAATATCGTTTTTACTGTTTCTGGTTCATCTTGTTTGAAATCTTTATAAATTTTCAATGCTTCTTTTCCTAGTAGGTTTTTAAGCCTTGCTGCTTGTATAGAGTTAGGTTTCTTTTCGGTTTCAGTGGCTATAAAATATATCTCCACTTCTTCTTTAAATGTCCTAAAATTTTCCTCCAAGTTGCCTTCAAGGCTTAGGATATCCGGTTTGTTAAATTCCATTTCCGTGTATATACTTCTGATATTATTCTTAATCAAATCTTTACCGACTGCGCCATGTTTAGTTTTATAAAAAGTAAAAAGTATTTTTTTAACATTCAAGTTGTTTCTCTTTATTCCATTACTGTTTACAATTCAATATCATTGCTTAATTATTATTGACAACATCTGTTAAACAAATTATTTTAAACAAAGACTTGTAAGTTAATATGTAAGTAAGTAATATACAAACAGTCAACACAACTACATCTTTAAGGTTATGTTAAGAGATAATTTGAGGAATCAGCAAAAATAATAATAAATAGTTGCTAGGCAGCGGTTGCAATAAAACAATTCTATTGCAATGCTATGAATACTGATTGTGTAATTAATATGCATTTATGTTTTATGAAAGTAAGCGGGCAGCTGATTTTGCGTCCCTAGGGATGTAAAAACCTGATCTGTCCCCAAATGACGATGACAGCTGGCATGACCAGCAAAACGTAGCTTTCAGCCACCAATTAACGTAGGCTATGTAAAACAGCTAAAAACGTCATAGTGTGGTGAACAATTATTTAGAAAACCTTGACCATCAAGTGGGTTTAGTTTAGAGTGCTATTCTTTAAAATTAATTTTGGAAAGTAATTACACTTTTTTTAAACTTCGTTTATCAAACTAATGGGTAGTTATAACTTACCTTGTAGTCTACTGGAAATATAACGTTTTCCGTCTGTAACTAAAAAAAACATATTCGTGATAAGATCATTACTATCTTAAAAGAGTAAGTAGGTGGAAAATGTTGGTAATTTTCAACATATCAAAGTACAGATCTAAAATATATATAAAAAATTGTATAACCCAGGCTTGCCGGTACAAACATAAAGAGTACTTTGGTTTAGAGTTTTAGTTATTTTAGTTTTAATGCCAGAGCCAAAGCCATCTTGATTGTTTTTTTCTTTTGACGACTTCAATAAACTTTGTAGTTTTTCACGACAATAAATCATTCATTTCACTAATTCCATTTCATTTCATGTTGAAAAATCTTGATACAATTCAAAATTTCTAAAATGCGGCCGATTAAATTTTTTAAGTTTTAATTAGGCTACTAAAAGTTACTGATATTATAAAAGAATTTCAAGTGCACTTATGTTTATCATTTAAAATTTCCTGTCAAACGACAAGTTCAAAAAGATTGATTGAATATAAACTGAAATATCACGATAAATAGTTGTACAATAAGGCAAACCTGCCTAGCTTAGTCTTATTCTACTGTATCCCATAAAATTCTATGGATATAGGTCCATCACTTACGAAATTCTTGATTGAAAACATACGCTTACATTTACCATACAACTGATAAGTGATTACAAATCAATTAATTAATACACAGAAATAGTTGGACAAAACTTAATATTAGAACATTGTCTTACCTTCGCAACTGTCTCCCATACTAGAAATACCTGAAAAAATATTGTTTTAGATGTCAAAATAAAATCAACTTGATCAACGGCATGACTCCGTTGACAATTTTACGTAATAGTTTTGATTGGTAACGTTGAATAATTTCAATGTTTGAGGTACTTGTTGATTTCCAAAGCTTAATCCCATGAGTCCGATTTGGTTTTAGAACTGTTTTGTACAGTAATAATTTATTTTGAGTGCTAAGTTTTTATTTAGGATCCAAGAAGCCAATTAAGTTTAATTGTTTTTAAATTTGGTGTTGTCTTTTAGTCCGTATATGTGCCTCCCAATTAATCTTGCATCTAGGTGCATGCCCAAGTATTTTACTTCTGTTAGTTGAGGGAGTTGAATATTGTTCATGGATACTGGAGTACATGTAGCCAGATTTAGGGTAAAAGTAATGTGTGCTGATTTATTTTCATTAATTTTGAACCTACATTTTTCAAACCAATGTGAAATGTCATCCAAGTTTAACTCTAAATTTACTGTAGCTTGAGCCGGATCGTCGTGGGGAGATAAAATGGCCGTATCATCCACAAATGTGGCAACCACAGTGTTTACACTCTCTGGTATGTCCGAAGTATAGAGAATATGCATAGATGAACAAGTATGGTCCAAGTACGCTTCCTTGGGGAATTCCTGATTCTATGGGCTAAAGGTCAGTTGAGTAATTTTGATGTTTAATTTGGAATGTTCTGTTTGTAAGATATGATTTTAAAATAGGAAACTGAATGGGGTAGTAACTTCTTAATTTTGAATAGTAAGCCGTGCTGTCGCAGGTGTGCGTGACTGACATCAATGAAAGCAGACGAACAAAGTGGTTTGTTTTCCAAACAGTTTAGAATTGTATGACCAACCCTATGGACTTGTTCTACGGTGCCATGTCTCCGTCTAAAACCGAATTTGTGTCCTGGAAAAACGTCGTCTTCTTCAAAAAGAACTTTGGAGTCTTTTGAGGAACAATTTCTCAAACAACTTAGACACGATAGGTAAGGCTTTTGTTCCAGTGATAGAACCAAAACTAGCAGATTTTATTTTGAGTCAGGGATTTTTCAATGGTTGCCTTAATTTCTGAATTTTTCCAGAGAAAAGTCTAGTTAAAGTAGAGAGTCCAAGAACTCTATTATTGTTTCTTCATTATAAACCACAGCTACATTTGGATTGAATACATTGGACTAGTATTCCCCAAAATCTTCAGACTTTTATATGTCACTCTTAGCCCAGCTTACTATAAATTAAGTAACAAGGATTAAGTAAACAAAACACTTGTAGCATGTGTTTATAAAAAGCTATCCACAGTGCACTAGCAAATAACAAAAGACAGTACAGGGGGAAAAACATCAGTGGACATTTATTGAGGACAAATGCTCAAAAAATATTTATTGAGCATGGATTACACTAAAGATTTGATTGTTATGGATGTTCTAACTAAATGTATTTAAAAACTAGGGAAGGAATGTGGTTGTAATTTTAGGAATAGATAATTTTGTAACTAACAAATTTATTGGTGGACCAGTAGGCCTATCGCAGGGAACTGTGAACGTTGCTGAAAAAAAATTGGTAACTAAAAGTCTTGGCACAGGACTTATGGGGAAGTTACAGGAGCAGAAATAGATTTGATCATATCATTATATCAATATTCCAAGTAAATTAATTTATATCTGGGGGTTTCAATTGGCATAACCATAACACTACTACCGCATCCTAAAGCCAAAGGAAAAAGATACAGAATCTCAATTTCTTTAGAAGTAGTAGCGCAAAAACTAAAAATAGTTGTCACAAACATATAAAACTAATATGATTTGGTTTATATCATACTTTTATCGGATCAGCCAAACAACGGTTTTCGATTACCATGAGAGAGAAGCATGTGCGAACCTTTAGAAACACTTAAGCTTGTATCTTATTTTCGTTTAAAGTTGCATACTTTAACAGAGTATAACATTACACAGTTGTTTCTTATTTCAGTGATCTATGGTGGTCTATGGTTTGTAATACAATTTTTTTCGCAAATTATAAGATGTGCTTGTTGACGATACAGTTTTTAACGATTATACCCAATTAATCAATACACCCAATTAATCAATACACCCAATTAATCGAGCAAAGCTCGGTCCACCGGTACTAGACAGTAAAGTAATGTAATGGGTTGTATGGGATTTTTAAACATTAGTCTACACGAGCTAGTGTCAAAACAGTTACGACATGTGAACACTTTTGATACCAATATAAAAATTGCCCGTATCTGAAAGCAAATCCACCATTTACTGCGCAAGCAATACTTTAAACCACGTATTCAACCGATCTCCGCTTATTCCAAATCCGTATTTTTTAGCCTGGTTTACTAGATTAGCAGGGTTTTAAGGTTGTGTCTTGCCCCAAAACTATGCAAATGGCTTTGTAGCGTTTACTTCAACTTACAAGGTGTCAATAAATTTTTTTTTCGAACATCAAAATTTTTGTTGAATGGAAATTAACCTTGCTGAAGAAGGCATGATGCATTATTTGTATTGTACAAAGCATATTAGCAAGGCAAAGCATGCGGATGGTCAAACTTACCAGCACGAATATACTGAGCACATGATGGAAGATCTTCATGCTAAACAGTAGAACTGGGCTGAATTGTACGCGAATTTATACATGTAAGAATTGAGCGTTGTCGATTTATCAATGTATTAATGACTATAAATGTATGGTCGATGAGGTAATGATTCGACGAGTCAGACTATTTGCGTCATCCGCTGAGCAGCTCGTGAACATGTGGAACATGTAGACAAGTGCGTTTGCGAAAACTTATGGCGTTCATACGCAAACGAACAAAAATGTATCTTGTCAGTTTAGCGGCTTTAGACGTGGTGCAAATGATACTTTTTTCAAATTATATCGTGCGCTGTTTCACGACATCCAACCTCATGACGGCCAAAGCTTGGGGAAAGACTATATTTTTTGCAGTTTGTACTTTTGGACATTGGTCAGTGATAAGGGTTCAAATTTGGCAAATAGTGAATTTTTAGCAAAGATGGTAGCCTATTAAGTTTACTTTGTCCCCTCCGTACAATTCCACCTCAAATCGGACTGAGTAAAAATGCGCTTACGAATTCAAGAAAACCATTAAAAGGTTTTGGATAGTGGGCCGGACACCATTACTTTACAAGATAAACTTTATAATTTACTCTTTGCGGTGAAGAGCAGGACTTGTTGAATTTGCTATGTATTATTTGCATTCCAAACTAGGGTATCCAGAAGAAGCCCCCTCGCCTACCTGGACTAAATTAATCAAAGCAAAATCTATTATATTAATATATTATACATATTATTATTATATTATCAATATCTATTTTATTTCTCAAAATGTTTACAATATACAGAGTGTTCAAAAAAGGTGGGGACATGACACTAGGTAAACCTAGTGATTCCTTGGGTCAAAATAAAAAGAAAATCACGTATAACATTTTTTCCAAAATCGCTTCGTTAACCATATATCCAACCTTTTGTATTTTTTACACAAACATATTTATCTTTGGACTTTTTCAACTGATCTTTATAAAACTGGGTATAGAGACCCATTATAGAAACAATTCATCTTGATTCAACTTTAAATTTAAAAAATGGCGGCCATTTACATTTTGTTTACTTAAATTACTCAAAAACGGCTGATTTTATGAGCAAACGTTCAGAACACTTTTATTTAGAATTTTTAATTCCCTATCAAACGATACCAAGTTCAAAAATATCGAATAATAAATAGCTGAAATATTAAGATTTTTAGTTGTAATATGGGGTTAAGATGATTTTTTTCTAACATGGGCCTCTTTTATCTTAATATACATACCCAGTTTTATAAAGATCGGTTGAAAACGTCGAAAGATATAAATGTTTGTGTAAAAATACAAAATGGTGGATATCTGGTTGACAAAGCGATTTTGGAAAAAATGTTATACGTGATTTACTCTTTATTTTGACCCAAGGAATCACAAGGTAAAATAGTCCCCACCTTTTTTGAACACTATAGTATATCAACCACATGTTCAATAATTATTCAATATTCTATGTTGGCAATAAGTAAATATCTATTAATAATTAGTGTTAAATAAATCATCAACAGCATTACACGTTTGTATCAATCAATTATGTATTGTAAAATAAATCTTTACAAATGAAGCTACATTTTTCAATTACCAAGTCAACAAAATACGTGTGCATCCACAAGGCCACGACAAACACCCTGTATATACATACACTAGAAATACGAATGAATAGTCCTGCCATCCCGTACAAGACCTGTGCCTGGCACGAGCTCTATTACAATTACAGTACTACAGTATTACAAATACGCGACCAATAGTGCTGGCGCAGTCGAGGGTTTCCCAACATAAACACCAAATTATAAAAAAAACTACATCTTCATCAAATTTTTAAGTAAGAAAGTGTAGCTTTAGCTCTTTGTTCGTGATTAATTCATCCGCAAAAAACTTATTCACTTTGATGTAGTGTTTTTGAATGTTGAAGTAATTCTGTACATGGCCGATTTTACGTAGTTTCCAACCTAGTTCATGGGCCCTAAACAATATTGACGTCAAGCAAGTTAATTGCAAACACTTGCGCGTTAGTAAAAACAGGTACTGTATAGCGCACAACCAAAGTGTTCTAGCATATAACACTATAGAATCAACAATATGTATTAACCATGAGACAATAAACACGGTGTATTGACAGTAGCCATTAATGTACAATCAATTCAAGAATTTCAAAGAATAACATAATTACAAAAGCAGTTTATTGTACAGTAAAAATTATGGACAAATTAACTTTTCGCTGTTTTACAAATAATTTAATTTTAAAATACAACATGTAATTTAGGTATTTTTGAATCGTTTAATTTCTTTGTCAGTTTTCTGGGAATATCAAATGATCAAATGATAGTGTTAGCAACAGTGCCCGTTGTGGTTAAATACAACGGTTCTAGTCAAATAAATCCATACACCACTTTACTCACTAATATTAATGGTATATAAAGCACATAACATTAGAATCACACACTTAACATAAGGAACACACTTTAAACACAAATGCAAATTGTTAACAACAACATTTAATCAAAGAAAAATCAATTAGATAACAATACAGGGTGAGTTTTAAATGAGTTCCCTTCCCCCTACTTTTTTCTACATTTCTTAAGAAATCAACTCCGGACCACGTCAGATCATTGTAGAATAGTAAGTACCTAGCCTATTTCATTTTGACTTGGTACACTGGGTATGCTGAACTCAATGGTGCAATCAATTTTCCATTTTCATATTTTGTTTTTTAAATATTGACATTTTTTAAGTAAAATAATTGTAATAGTTATTCAAGAAAGCTTGATAATAAAAAACTGATTGCGGCATTGAGTTCAGCATAAAAAGTAATTCAAAATGATGGGTCACAACACCACCTTCATATTTAAAATAATTTATCTAATTTCAAAATGGCGGATCCAAGATGGCGGCCGAAAAAAATACATCCCTCATAACCAAGTGGAAATAGGTCGACAATGACTGGTGGTGTATACTTATCTTTATCTAGCACTATTTTGCGATTAGGGTCTTAGTTTGTAAATGCACAATGTTTAGGCTAAAAATAAAGTTATAAAAAGTGCTCATAACTTAACAATGGATCAAGAATTTAAAAAACGGATTGCAGCATCGTATTTAGTGTAAAAATCTAGTTTGAAACGATAGGTCACAAACCTACCTTTACATTTGAAAAAAAAACTTTGTATCCAATATGGATCCAAGATGGCGGCCAACAATTTTTACCTAGTCAAAATGAAGTACTTACTACTCTACAATGATCTAACGTGGTCCGGAGTTGATATCTTAAGAAATGTAGAAAAAAGTAGGTGGTTACACCACAAGAATTTGAGCTGCAGTGACGAAGGTAAAGCCTATTTTAGTTATTATACAGCTCAGGGGCTAAAACATGGATTTTAATAATTACAATCTTTTTAGTACTTATCTGCAATCAATCATACGTAGCTCTATTTTTATTTAAGTTATTTTATGTGTCTTGGTCTTAAAATACTTCAAAGGCTTTGGTAGTTTTAATCAGTTAAGTTCAAGATACTGTATTGCTCAAACAGAAAATATAAATTTGATTATATCTTGTATATGGAATTTAGTTTTAGATATATTTACTTAATCCTAATTGCGTTATTCTATTTGTTTTGACCTAAGAACCTTCAGTAAAATACCAGCTTCCATTTGATTTATTGATAATTAATATCGGACGTACCTAAAGCACACAGCTACATAAATCACGAACAACACAAACTGTTAAAAAAAATGAGTTATTTATCATCGATTTATAGTCAAACGATCTTGCTTGCAACCTCAACAGTAACTGTCGACTTTGACGGGTTTCACCTAGTAAAACTTTTAAAAATTAATTTTTCATAATTATTTGCAAATCTACACAAATTAGGCTTTCCACTGACCTATTAACTAATAAAATCGGTTCAGTTGAACTGTAGATTAAATTGTACAAAGTTTAAGAACAACATCTTTAATTCTGTATTTTCTCGCCACTATAAATAGGGAGGTTGCTTAACGTTTTTGCAAATAACTTTGAAATGGTGAGGAAATCGACCAAAGTGGAAGGTGATATTCTATAAGAGAAATAAAATTTGCTACAAATTACCATTATGTATTTCTTGAAAATACTCAATAAAGGCAGCCTAAAGTTGGCTACAAATATAAACTTGAAAATATAAACTTGGAAAAAAAGGAGTTTTAAATGTATTATTGTTTATTATTATTTGTTCACCTCAAATATCTAATAACATCAAACTTTCATAACTATTTGCAAATCTACACGAATTAGGCTTTCCAACGACCCATTAAGTAACAAAATCGGTCCGGTAGAAGTCTAGATTTAGTTGTACAAAGTTTAACAAATACCCCCGCCGCAGCAAACCTGCAGACTTGGCGAATTTCCATCTGCCTGATTAGATTTAAACTAAAATGTCTCCTTAAAAATATCACATTTATTCCCTATTTAAACAGAATTAGTAGTTTAATGAGTACTTAGGTTTGCTGCAACAGGGAGGGTAAAAGTTTTTTTTAATGTAAAATATTAAAAGGTACTGTGGTTTAGTAAGAAATTAATGTATTTTCCAAATTTGATCAAAATATGTTCATAAACAAGCAAACTACAACAGTTGACTTATTCTCCATAAGAATAACATGGGAATTTTAAAATTACAATTTTTTTGAATTTTCTCCGTAACAATTAGGCACATAATAACGCTTCAATATACTAAATTATTTGTCTTTTTAAGCTCTACAAAATGGTTTAAAAATAAATTGTGAAATTTTGTGCTTTTAGGGTCAAAAATGGGAAAAACCTATTTTTACCCCATAAAACCCCCCATAATCCCCCGTTCCCATAGTCCGATCATGCTGGTTCGCGAACTCATTTAAGGTTATCCTTACACCTTCAAACCAAATTTTATCAAAATCGGACAAAAATTACTCAAGTTATCGTGCGGATGGACACATATATATCTCTCTATATATAGATATATAAAAATTTTAACGAATGGTGTTTTTGGCCTCTGGGGACATCAAAATGAAAAAGTAAATCGGTCCCGGGCTTAGGTCTTACCATGAGACCTACGGTAATAGCTACTTCCCTATAGGGAAATTCGCTAAAATATCCCAGACTCAATATTTTCTCATTACCAAAAATTCGGAGGCTGCTTAGCTTTTGTGAAAATAACTTTTAAATGGTTAGGAAATCAACCAAAGTGGATGGTGATATTCTGAAAGAGCATAACATTTCCTACAAATTTTTACCATGCACTCCTTGGAAATACTCAATACTCCCGCCGCAGCAAAGCTGCAGACTAAGCAAATTTCCATTTGCCTGATTGGATTTACACTAAAATGCCTCCTTAAAAATATCACATTTATTCCCTATTTAAATAGGTAACTTTAGTTTAACGAGTACCTACTTAGGTTTGCTGCAACAGGGAGGGTAAAAAGTGTTTTTTTGTAAAATGTTAATAGTTTAGTATGAAGTGAATGCATTTTCCAAATTTTTCAAAATATGCTCATAAACAAGCAAACTACAACAGTTTACTTATTCTCCATAAGAATAACATGGGAATTTTAAATTTACAGATTTTTGGAATTTTCTCCGTAACCATTAGGCGCATAATAACGCTTCAATATACTAAATTATTTGTTTTTTAAGCTCTACAAAATGGTTTGGAAAGAAATTGCTGAATTTTAAGTTTTTAGGGTCAAAAAAGGGAAAAACCAATTTTTACCCCATAAAACCCCCCATAACCCCCCTGTTCCCATGGCCCAATTATGCTGGTTCGTGAACTTGTTCGAATAAACGTAGGTCGTCACGTTTGCACCAAATTTCATCAAAATCAGATCATTTTTGCTCGAGTAATCGCGCTAACGGACATATATATATATATTAAAATAATTAGAGGATGGAAAATAGTGTGTAATCCAACTACACACTTAAGGATTATAAGGTGATATACAAAAACTAAGAGATATGTGATGCAGAATAATTTTACTAGTTTAATATGATGGACTACCCAATTACCAGTAATTTATTTTCTTTATTCTCCTTTATCTCAGCCGATTTTCCAAAGCGTTCTAAGTGGGCTTCTGAGGAAGTTCCAAAGAAAGATTTTTGGGGTGTTAGATGGAGTTTGAATAGGGGTTTGTGGTCTTTTTCTGTGTTTTTAAAAGTTATAGTATAGTAGTTAAAACCCAAAAAGTTAAATGTCAAAATTTAGTAGTTTAAAAACCTTAAAAATAGTATTCATTCCTTAATTGAATCACATATTTCTTTTGGGTTGTGTCTTTATGGGGGCACATCAAATTTTAACCTAAATAGCATTCTGGAACTTAAAAAAAAAAACAATTCACATTATGTTAAACTTAAGTCAAAAACATCCGCAAAAGAGCATTTTAAAGAAATAGGAACTATGACTGTTTTTAGCTTATACATTTATCAAATAGCCCTTTATATTAAATCAAACCATGAAAGATTGCCAAAATTGAACTCTTTTCATACATATTCAACCAGAAAAGGTAATGAATTGGCGTTCAACAGACATAATTTATCGGTTTATGAAAAAATCCCATCTTATAGTGGTGTTAAATATTTCAATAGCTTACCTGACAATGTAAAAAATATAACTAATTTTAATTCATTTAAAAAACGTTTGAAATTATTTCTCACCAACACACCAACAGACCCTTGTATAAATTAGAAGATTTTTTCCAACTTCCTGAAATTTGATTTTTTAATAATAACAATATTCTTTGTCAGTAGTCTTAAGTTTAATATTGTGTTTTTATAACTGACTCCGTTCTGTACAAAATGTGCAATATGAATAAAGTTATTTTGATTGATTGATTGAGAACTGTTCAATGATTTTAGTTTGCTACTTGAGTATGATACTTGGATTTCAGGATTTTATTAAGTCATCATTACAAGATTAACTGTTATTTATTTGTATGATATAAAAATCAGTCTATCAACTTACAAACAAAATATAAATTTTAACACGGACAAGTATTTTTACAACACAGTTTTCTATATATAACTAACTTGTATATAATAATAAAAACTTATTATACATAACAAAACAATAATGAGAGGCAGATACAAAAATTATTCTGAAAATGGTTTTTTCCCTTTAAAAGAACATGACTGAAATGTAAATGCTTGTATCATACTTAAAGTACCTTTAATACATTTTTTAGTTGCTTTCCGGTAAGTTTGAATATAAATTGAGTTAACTTTGATAATTGATAATTTAAGTTTTACTTGTAAATGACCAGCAATAAATAATATTACAAATAATTGACATTACATGTATGCTAATTTTGTATTCACTGAGAAATTGAACCTTAACATAGCTAAATATGGATGGTTTTGACCAATTCTTATGTTTTAAATAATTAACATTGTTAAGCACATGTAAAGCAAAATAAACAAACTCCAAGCAACAAATTGTACACAGGTAAACAATCTTAAAAATGCAATATGGAGGCCTAGTTTATTTTATAACAAAAGTAGAAAGTGAGTCGTTACATATTTGCATTGACTATATATACCTACAGGTATATATAAAATATACAGGTATATATAGTAGGTATATATATAGTCAATGATATTTGAGACCATATGTTTAAAGTGGGAGATTTATCAAGCACTTAAAAAAATATGGCCGAGAATATGTAATTAATTACTAATGATGTTTCACTTGTGTTTTTAGTGTCACTTTTCACTACACAACAAGGACTAATTATTTTTAATCAAAAATAGATATAGGCATTATTTTTCTTTATTACAATTTGGGAACATTTAAAAACTAATAGCATTTTTTAGGTTAAGCCTTCTATTGCAAATTCAAATTTACATTGATCGTACAGTTTTGGTTGTTGAAAATGAAACTGTTTATGAAACAATAACAAATGTATGTTTTTCTATGTCGTCAAAACCTAAAAAAATATAGTAAACATTACCTTTGCATAGTAAACATTCTTTTTGAATAGACAATGTAATGATGAGTTTTAGCCTTTGATAAACATATAACGAAAACAGGTGATTTCACAGTAGTGTATCGAAAACAATATATAGATGGTATTTTAATGAGCGCAAGTACTGTGCAGGGATCTGAAAAAACACTGAAATAATTTTTAACAGGTTGTGAACCACAGAAAACGATAATATATGTGCAACATATATTAAGTTCAGTCTAGCTTAGAATTCTCAGGCAGTAACAACTATCCAATGTATTTAATGCAAAATACCCCTGTCGCGGCAGATCTGCAGACTAAGCGACAGGAGCCTAATACGTTAACGTTACTTAAATATTTAGGTCAGTCGAAAAGCTGTTCAAAACATTGGGTCAGGGGGTTATGGGTCAGGGGTTGGATTTGGTATTTATAACCTGATTTCAGCTTAAGTTTTTGAAACGAATGAATGAGTCTATACCAAATTCAATAGAGAAAGTAAATCCAAAATTTTACTGGGTCAAATTGTTTGGAAATAAAAAAAAAAAAAATTCTTTAGGAAACTTAATTAGTGATACTAAGTACTTTTAAGTCACATAGTTAGCCCTCAAAGGGATAAATTATTACCAATACAGCATAACTCAAGCTAACTATCTTGATATCGGGTAACTCGACAGTCTAAACAGCTAACAAGGTACAATACATCTTGCTGGCTTTGTCTTACAAGTGCATTAGACTTTTCTAGCAATTTTTTAAGAACATTTTCTTTTAATTATTGAATATTCTAAATTTTTTTGAAGATTATTGAAGGAAAAGCAATTAATTTATACGCACAAATTAGTCAGCTATGTATTCATTTATAAAAACCCATTTAAATTTCAATGTTTTGCATAGTTCGACAACCTCTGGGTATAAAAATTGTCGAGTTAGTGAGGTTTTACTGTACTAAAAATACAAAATTAGTCAATACAAACAAATAAAACAAAGAACTTTTTGTAAATTGTTCTACTTTTAGCACCTGGAATGTCACAATTTTAAATCTCTATTTACAATATAAACAAGTTAAATGCAAAATACAGAGTATATCAAGACTAAAGAGAATTACTAATGATAAATTCATCACATTAAAGGTACGTGCTAGAAAAGTGACTGTGGTACAATATTCTCTTGCAAGTTATGAACATTTTCATCAGGTAAAGAAATAAAATGGTAGGATATATCAGAGTCGTCGACATCTTCAGTCTGATCTTGATGATTGTCAACTTGGGCATCAGACACCGTTGCACTATCTACTGGTAAACTAGGTGCAGTTTTGGGGGAAAAAGTGTGAAAGTGGACTTTTTGTTTGTGTCTACAAAGTTGTTTTCGATTCTTGAAAGTTTTATTGCAAAACTTACAGAGGAAAGACTTTTCTCGGCTGTGAACAGCTTGATGAATCCTCAGCTGGTTCCTGCTGCGGAATTTTTCGTGGCATTTCTCACATACGAAGGGTTTCAGATCTGTGTGAGTTAGAGTGTGTGCTCTGAGAGCGCTAGCTCTCGAGAAGGACTTTGAACATATCTGACAACTAAACACTCTGTCTGCGTGTACTTCAGCGTGTTTCTTGAACGAATCTGGATGACTGAAACTTTTTCCACACTCTTGACAAACATAGGGCTTTTCTTTCGAATGGTAAATTAGTTTGTGTGATTTGACTGCGTGTCTCCATCTGAACATTTGCTGGCAAATATCACATTTAAACTTCTTCTCGTCCGTATGGACGAGTTGGTGAGTGTTGAGAACATCTTTGCGGTTGAATGTTTTTCCACAGATCTTGCATTCAAACTTCTTCATTCCAGTGTGGATTAAAAGATGTGTTTTCAGGGTGCTCAACAAACTAAATGCTTTCTGACAAATTTCACAGCGGAAAAGCTTTTCGCCCGAGTGTAAAACTTTGTGTCTTTTCAGAGAGTTCAAAGCTGAAAAATTGCTTTGACAAATATCGCAGGTGTACAGTTTTTTCTCTGAGTGTACAGACCAATGTGCATGGAGAGAATCCCTAGAACTAAACTTTTCATTGCAGTAAGCACAAGGGAAAGCCAAGTTAATGTCTTCCTCTTTGTGGCACAATTTGTGCCTTTGGAGATTAGCCAATTTTTGAAAGGACCTCAAGCACTTTTCACATTGATACAAAGTTTCACCTTGAATTTTGTGTTTACTCTCTTGCAGTTCGGGTTGTGATCTTGACTCAATTTCCAATTGTCTGTTTTCAACAGTATTATTTATCTCTGGTTCTTGATTAATGCTACCAGTATTGTTCATTTCCTGCCCCAGGTAGAGAGGATCCTTCGTTGAATTAATATCTTCTCCATTTCTATCTTCTTCTTTTGCATTTCTAGCAGCCAAATCCACAGCTTCTTGATTGTCAAAAGTCTCATTCGGCATTTTTGAATGCACCTTTATTTTACTTTGCATCGTATCATGCATTTCCTTAACATGTTTTCTTGCAACACAATTGGTTAGAAAACCTGCATTGCATTTGGAACACTTGTACCTCTTGCCACCATTATGTGTGGTGATAGTGACTATTTTAGTCACATCATTCAAATTCTCTTTGTCTTCACCACATTTATCTCTTGTACTTCTGTCAGATTGCCACTTAAGATCTAATTCTCTTTTCTCCTCCTTGTGGACATATTTAATGTGTATCATAGCAAAACCTTTTGACCGATACCTTTTAAAACATAAAGGACATTTGTAACTCTCATCTGTATATTTAATAGGTGGTTTGTTTCCAGCTACCTTTTTACTATGGACGCTAGCTGCATGAATGATTGCTGTTATTCTTGTTTTAAATATTTTTTTACATTTATAACATTTATAATTCCTACCAGAAATAGGGTTAGGCATATGCTTTGACAGAATTCCTAATTCATCCTCCTGAGAATGTTCTGCGTTCAACTTTACTGCCAAATCGGATTTCAATGATCTTTGACATTTATCAAACTCATAACTCTTGCCAGAGACTTGTTTTGATACCAACTCAAAGGTGGTGGGTTTTTTCTCCTTGTAGACATGACCTTTGAGTATCTTTACGACTAATTCGGATTTCAATAATCTTTGAGACTTATTAAATCCACAACTCTTACCAAAGACTTGGTCAGGTACAAACTCAAAAGGTGTTTCTTCTTTTTCCTTGTGGGTTTTCCTCATTTTACCTTTGTGTACCTTTAATGCGTGTTCAGATTTGAATACTTTTTGACAATGATTACACTCGTTTTCCTTATGAAATTCATTAAATTTAAAACTCTTACCAGAGACTTGGTCAGGTACAAACTCAAAAGGTATTTCTTCTTTTTCCTTGTGGGTTTCCTTCATTTTACCTTTGTGTACCTTTAAGGCGTGTTCAGATTTGAATACTTTTTGACAATGATTACACTCGTTTTCCTTATGAAATTCATTAAATTCAAAACTCTTACCAGAGACTTGGTCAGGTACAAACTCAAAAGGTATTTCTTCTTTTTCCTTGTGGGTTTCCTTCATTTTACCTTTGTGAACCTTTAAAGCGTGTTCAGATTTGAATACTTTTTGACAATGATTACACTCGTTTTCCTTATGAAATTCATTAAATTCAAAACTCTTACGAGAGACTTGGTCAGGTACAAACTCAAAAGGTATTTCTTCTTCTTCCTTGTGGGTTTCCTTCATTTTACCTTTGTGTACCTTTAAGGCGTGTTCAGATTTGAATACTTTTTGACAATGATTACACTCGTTTTCCTTATGAAATTCATTAAATTCAAAACTCTTACGAGAGACTTGGTCAGGTACAAACTCAAAAGGTATTTCTTCTTCTTCCTTGTGGGTTTCCTTCATTTTACCTTTGTGTACCTTTAAGGCGTGTTCAGATTTGAATACTTTTTGACAATGATTACACTCGTTTTCCTTATGAAATTCATTAAATTCAAAACTCTTACCAGAGACTTGGTCAGGTACAAACTCAAAAGGTATTTCTTCTTTTTCCTTGTGGGTTTCCTTCATTTTACCTTTGTGTACCTTTAAGGCGTGTTCAGATTTGAATACTTTTTGACAATGATTACACTCGTTTTCCTTATGAAATTCATTAAATTCAAAACTCTTACCAGAGACTTGGTCAGGTACAAACTCAAAAGGTATTTCTTCTTTTTCCTTGTGGGTTTCCTTCATTTTACCTTTGTGTACCTTTAATGCGTGTTCAGATTTGAATACTTTTTGACAATGATTACACTCCTTTTCCTTATCAAATTCGTTAAATTCAAAACTCTTACCAGAGAGTTGGTCAGGTACAAACTCCAGAGGCGTTTCTTCTTTTTCCTCGTGGGTGTTCCTCGTTTTACATATGTGTACTTTTAATGTGTGTTCAGATGTGAATACTTTTTCACATTGATTACACTTTTTCCCCTTATGAGCATGAGCAAACACTAGATGCAACTTTATTGCTCTCATGGATTTAAAACGTCTTCGACATTTATTACATCTATAAATTTTGCCAGAAGGCCTTTTTGGCATCAACCTATAAGCTTTTTCTTCTACTCGTATTCCCTTATGAGCACGACCTTCATGTATATATAACCCATGTATGGAATCAAACACGTGTTGACATTTATCACATTCATAACATTTAACAGAAATACTATCCATTTCTTCTTTTTCCTTGTGACTTCCCTCATGTGTCATCAAACCTCTTCTGCTTTCAAAACCTTTTGTACAAGTATTACATTTATACATTTTACCAGAAACATTTTCCTCTTCCGGTTTGCACACATGTTTCACTAAGTAGGCTTTGGATGAAAACTTTTTCCAACATTTGTTGCATCTGAAGATTTTACCACCCAGATGGAACCGCTTAAAGTGTCTCTTATACTGCAGCTGTAAAAAGAAAAAAAAGTTAACTCAGCAAACAAAACAAAAAGGAAATATATTTTAAAAATGGGTTTTGAAAGAATAGTACTAAAAGGTACAAAAATAGAAACAAACTCAGTTAAAAATAGCTATGGTAGTATAATTTCAGACACATTGGTATTTTAGTTTTGTACATAATTATGATTTCAAAATCTATTATTGAGTGTTAACTGCTTCATAAACAGCATCATATGACAGAACTATACCGGCTCATAATCTCCAACTTGGTTCATACGGTACCTGTGAATTGAAAATCCGGGAACATTTGGGACACTTGAACATGAGTTTGAGACGAGAAATAGTGTTCAACCTAGAGAGAAGGTTGGACTGAACAGACCGATGATTAGGCTCTTGCACTCCAGACATCTGTAACAAATATCAAGTTGTACAATAAGTAGAATACAATAGTTAGACATGTTAGCTCAAATTTTAACATGGTACCTGTAATGATAAGGCAAAGGACAATGAGAAACCAGGATGCTGTCAAAGCTTCCAAATGTCCCTTTGCTCTGCCGCTTCAATCCTCTTTTAACCAGTTCTTGTTTTAAGTTACAGTTAGTAAAGTTATGTAATTTACGGGATTGTGGAAAATCCTGAATATCCCCCATGATTTTGTAGACATCATCATCTCCAGCAGTCACAGCACATATTAATTACTGCAGTTCCGTAACGATCATCACTGTCTCCCGCGTTCATGAAAAAGTTATCGTCACCCGCGATCGCATAAAGCATGAATTTTTGATCACACAATCTTCAAAGCATGTTCTTCAACGACGAGAATATCCCATTGGTAAAAGCCTGTCTCGCCTATCTTCTGAGTATAGACAATGGGTTGTCTTGACGTAGTCTGTGGCTTACAGTCATGCCACACGTAGGTAAATAGCACACAAGTAAGGGTTGGCTATCAAAGAAAAAGTCGGATAAGATCTAAGATTGGATAATGGAGACTCCACTGATCACTGTTTACAAAATAACGATTTCTAAGAAAATCATGTATGTAAAACCATCTTACATCATATTCATCATCATTGTCTGATGCAAATCCTAGGATCATTTCTCCGTCATCATCTACATCAAATCCCAGAAAAACAGCTTCGCCCTCATCATCGGAAATCAGTTCTTCCTGCAATCATTAAAATAGTTTGTGTCACAATGAAATTACAGTAAAAACTGGATCAATTGGAAATAAAGGGGGTGAGGCCATTTCGGTTAATCTCTTTTTTCAGTTCATCAACTTTTTAAATAGACAATAGACAATCTACAGGCTATTCCATTAAAAAAATATCTATAGTTCGGCCGCTTAGAAAGCGACCTGCGTGCTAATGCTAAACCAATGCTAGAGGAGGTCGCTTTCTAAGCGGCCAAACTATACATGAGTTATTTTAATTACTGTCATCATAAAGCCCCCCATACACGGGCGAACATGTTCGCGAGCCTGTTGGCGGACACGCTCACGAACATGCTCGGCATTTCCACCATATGGTCGAGCATGCTCGGGAACTTCCTTACCGCCACCGCACAGTACTCACTTCTCTCGTGCTGTGACAGTACGACGAGCCGAGCGCCGAGCCCAACATGCTTGCCGGTACGAAGGCTCGCAGACCCCACACACGGGCGAACATGCTCGCAAACATGTTTGCCCGTGTATGGGAAGCTTAAAATATACAGCAGTTTACAGAAAATATTTTTAACATAATTTAAAGTTTACTGAAATTTGAATCCATGTAACGGAATAATACAAATACATTTAGACCACAAAAGTGCTGTTCACTTACTGCTAAAGGGTCAACCAATTTGTATTCCTTCCTTGGTTTGTATTGTTTATCAATCCATCCTATTCCTGCTACTGCTCCTTTCTTGATGTACTTCCTTTTTCCCTTGAGAAAAAAGGATGGATTATAAAAAGATATCACTAATTACATAATTATCCCTTAGAGCTGGGTAGCCAAGCAGATTTAGAGCTCACCAATCAACCTTTAATCTTTTCAAATGGTTTATGTTTGGAACCAGCTGACTTTGATCATTGGGCTTTCAATAAATGATCCTGATTGACCAGCTGATCTTAGTCAGTAACTATTATCAAGACATTCCATCCCTATGTTAAATATAGATGGGAAGTCTAAATCTATTACATCATTCATTCACGATAAAAACGACCGCAAAGGGTTAATTGAATGTATCTAGGCTGCGCTGGTGTTCAACTAAGTCGATTAGTTGTAAGATACACATTTCCAAAGCCAAGATGTTTTGAAAATTAGAACACTTTGAAAATTGAATTTTTAAATTTATTATATTTTATTTACATTTAAATCTAAAGTGGTGTGGAGCTAAAGATGGCCTTAAGAAGATCAAAACACATTCTTCAAAAAGAGATTGAGAACATTTAAGTACAAATAATAAGTACAAATACAGTAGACCCCCTCTTAACCGACCCTAATGGGACCGGACCTAGGTCGGATAATTCAAAAGGTCGGATAAAACGGGCAATCCCTAAAATCATAACATAATGAAGTGCTATTCATTTAGAATTATATAATCATTATTTTGAAGTCATACTTGCATTATTTATAAAATAAACTACTCTTATCTCCTTTTTCATATTGATAGGAATGTCACAAATAAACACAAAACACGGTTAAGTCAAATAGGCCTACTTTCAGTGAATATATTATAATACTAGGCAAGAGTCAATAAAATTCCTATTTTAATAACTTTACTACTGTAGTGTATTAATTAATGCTTTCCAAATACATCGTAATACAGTACAGAACCTTTTGTCATCATTAAAGATACAAGCGACAATTTTGTTACAAGACAGGACGTTTATTTATGGCCACTCACTGGAGGTTCGAGGCACAAAAACTATCTTGACCTTGGAGTTGTTAACACCCCTTCCCTGCCCTCCCTACAAGTTGCATTGTTTGTTTACTCCAGCGATAAGATAATCAGTTCTCAAAATCGTAACGCACTTTATGATGTTATAAATTTGCCGCACAGATAACATATCTGATCAGATGTGCTCGAGCTACGAACGATGATGACAAACTGACAATAGGCTATGCTATATTTTTTGTGATCAACACAAAATAACTTATTGTTAGTCATATCCTGTGGAGATAAGCGTATGGTTCAGTTCTCATCGCCCAGCGTGGGAGCGGAAATGCCGAGATTCCTAGAAAGCGGCGGTTAAACCGAGCTGCTCTCAAAGCAAGGTCGGTTAAAACAAACTGTATTATTTTACGATCAAAGGCGGATAATCCGATTATCGGTTAATACGAGGCCGGTTAAGAGGGGGTCTACTGTAATAGGCCTACAATTAATCATTCAACATGCGCAATGTATTTTGTACCTTTTTAAAGATTAGAAATGTCAAACTTACCACTTTATAGTAAGCATCCTTCTTCAACCTCCTGGGAAAGATAATATACTGTATTAATATTTATTGGTTTAATATTTTACCCTAGATAATAGGATCAAAGATATTGCAAATTGTTTTGAAAAGAGCATGAAATCATTCTCAAATATCATATAAATTTCTAACGACTCAATAAATATGGTAGCTTGACTTATTAAGTTATTGATACATAGAACAGTGTTTTAAGCTTATATTTAAAAAAAATAAGTAGATTATAGTGTTATGTGCAAAATTTTTTTGGCATCCTTCTACCTAGTTTAAAGGCCATTTCAATGTAGTAATAGATAAGATCTTTCTTAATAAAGAGCTATCTTTTCAAATAATATTTCAACCATTATATTGAGGTGTGTTGTAGAACTTTCATAACAATAACTAACTAGTAATTAATTTCTTTAGCTAACTTATATAAGATAATACACTCACAGAGAAGTAAGATACAGAGGAAACATGCTAATGGAACAACCGTACGCTTTTAGCTCTAGAACGGTGGGGTGGAAATATACTAGTACCGAGCAAGGAAGAGCCCGAACGGCTATGGTTTACAACAGCAGTTGTACCGCACAGGCTCTTCTTACAGCGTAAGCACTGTAGTAAGTGCTAGTGAGGGGGGAGAGGAGAGCGGAAGGGGATGACCAATAGAATTTGTACTAGACACAAGCGACTGATGCTAGACACAAGCAACTGGTGCTAGACACAAGCGACTTGTGCTAGGCACAGCTTAAGTCTACCATTGAATGTTTCCTCTGTATTTTACTTCTCTGTACACTGTACTTCCAAGATTATTTGTGAATTCAAATTTTGTCTCCGTATATGCCAACTGAAAATACCGGCCTGTTTCTTAAAACAATATATTACATGTTAACAAAATATTTCAATCAATAGCATACTTACTTTATAGTTGAAACGTTCTTATTCTGTGGAACAAATTTGTCGAACTGAGCTGTATGCTTTGAATTGTTTTTTGATGAATCTTCATCAGAATAGTTTTTTGAATCATTCAAAGATTCATTTGAACCTTCGTTCAAATCAAGATTTTTAACTTTTCTTTTCTTGTACCTCCTTTTCTCAAGCCTGATTAACTCTTTCAATCCCCAAGATGCTTTCCTTCCAATAAGCTTTCTTCTCCCGCTCTCTGGGTAAATTCGCCTAGCATATTTTTTTCTTGGTTTCTCTTCTGGGTTGTCAATAGCTCTTTCCTTTATTTCTAGAGACGTTGGCTCCTCAATCCGGTACGATATATTGCTTGCATCCAATGTTTGATATAGATTTTTTTCTGATATGACATCATTGGATGAATTCTTTGATGCTTTCCCTTCTAACGATTTAACAACACTCCCATCCACTAAACGACTGATTTTCTTATCATGGAGAACATCCTCCATAACAACACTACAACTTCTACCTATTAAGACTGGAGTTGCTTGTGTGCTGACATTTGTGTTCATTGGTACTTTTAAATCAGCCAAAATACTTAAGCTCCTACCCTTCTCATTGGTAATGTTAAGTTTTACATTATTGGGTTCAGAGCTTACACTACAGATTCGTTCAACTTGAGCTGTTGGTGCGGAGCTAACCTTTCTTGCAGACATATTTTCAACTGATTGCCTTGATAGGATGCTTAAGTTTCCAGACAATCGACTACCCAAGCCTTCCATATTGATTTTATCTGATAGAATAACTTGATCAGACTGATTTGATAAGGTTGCTTGAGTTATATTAGAAGTGCCTAAACTTTGTGGTTTTTTATTTACTTCAGTTAAACTTTGGGAGTTTGAACAAACACTTATGGTAACATGTTTGGACAACTTTTGTTTTACGATATCCAAATTATTGGTGTTATCTACATTTACTTGTGGCTTACACGTTAACTGATTGGTACATACTGGCATAGAATCTTTATAAGATGTTGTAACACTGGCTACTTCTGATGATTCAAGAGATTGACTTTGGTTACATCGGTTAGACATTATATCAGTATTAATAGTTTCTACAGACTTTGAAGATTCAAGAGATTGACTTTGGTTACATCGGTTAGACATTATATCAGTATTAATAGTTTCTACAGACTTTGATGATTCAAAATATTGACTTTGGTTATCTTGGTCAGACATTTTAGCAGTATTAATAGTTTCTGCGGATAAGTTTATGAAAAACGTTGGTTTGGATGTACAATTTGTTTCCAAAGAAGCTTGATTCTCTGTTTGTTTTATTTCCGTTCCTGGTAGCTTTGAAGAATCATTTGTTCCTAAATCAGCGTTTTCTAACCTATCTAAAGCTTCATGGGCATGGACTGTTGTAGCTTTTGAAAGTGTAACTTTAAAGTCTTTACTCTGGTTAGGCCTTCCAACAAAGACACTGCGTGTTTTAGTATCAGTTGGACTTAATTTTGACTGATCATTCTGGTTAAAAGGTTTCTGGGTATTGGCCTTTGAAGGAGAACTAAAATCACTACGGTGTTTGACATTTTGTGCAACTTTGGAAGTACCCTGAATCATTTTACTATCTTGACTTTGAGTACTAACAATTTGTGAATCTCTATTGTCTAAAGATGAATTTGGATTTTGACATTCTTGGTGACTGTCACTTGACTTGTTAACACTCAACTTAGGTTTTAGCAACTCTTCTAGCAATTTTGAGTGACTACTCATTGGCGGGGTCTTATCATTAGAAGTCAAACTTTTTTGGTCTAAGGATGACGTTGGCTGGACGACTGTTTGCTCTGACTTGCTATTGACAAAAGCAGTACTACCCGAGTACTGACTTACTTTACTGTTAACTCCTGGATCACCATAACAGAGAGGAGTTTTTGGAAGGGACAGCGCAACTTTGTTCCTTGGCCCGTTGAAGGAAGTGTTTTTATTGATAAGTGTAGAGGGGGAAGTCAATAGAGAGGTTGATGTCATCTTGTTTCCAAAATATGGATCTCGATTACTTTCATAACTTGTGTACTCGTTATGACCTAAAATTTTGGGCAATTTGATCTTATTAGGGGATATTTGTTGTGGCAGCTTAAATTCATAAGGCCCTGGTAATTTGAATTCAGGAAGTTTTTGCGATTTAGGTGAAACTTGAAAACTAGTTGGAAGTGTTGAAGGAAGATTCTTATTTTTATTTTTGGGCGGAGTGATGGGTTGGTGACCATGTTGTGCTGAAGACTTTAATATCTCAGATCTGATTGTTGGATTTCTCAATTCCAGATATATTTTACCTTCTTTAAAACCAGTTTGGGATCTGCTACTGGACCCGATCTGGAAGTAGGGAGTGTGTGGGGTGATTTTGGCTTGACTTGATAGCACACTAAGTTTTGAATCAGCTTTGCTGATTACTGTTTCTCTCGTAGGACTTTGAAATTTGTTGTATTCAGTTCTACTTGGCGATGAAGAATAAGTTTGCTCAGTTCTAATTGGCGATGAAGAATAAGTTTGCTCAGTTCTAATTGGTGATGAAGAATAAGTTTGCTCACTTCTAATTGGCGATGAAGAACAAGTTTGCTCAGTTCTAATTGGCGATGAAGGATAAGTTTGCTCAGTTCTAATTGGCGATGAAGAATAAGTTTGCTCAGTTCTAATTGGCGATGAAGAATAAGTTTGCTCAGTTCTAATTGGCGATGAAGGGTAAGTTTGCTCAGTTCTAATTGGCGATGAAGAATAAGTTTGCTCTGTTCTAATTGGCGATGAAGGATAAGTTGGTTTTGACTGATTTACACCTAGAATGTTTGAATATTGTTGCTGTGTATTTTGAATAGTCTTGTTTCTACTGGATTGCTCAAGTTCAATCACAGTTAATGGCCTTAGTTCAGCTTTTTCCGTCTCTTGATTCCTATTCTCTTCCTTGTTCAAAGGCTGACAAAGTTGCTGATACAATTTTGAAGTGGCAAAATTAGGATTTTCATTACGCTGCTGTTTGAGTGGTTTTAACTCTTGGAAAGTATTACAAAAGTTTGAAGGATTTTCAACAACAGTTGTAGGAATCAAATACTCGTACTCTTTTGAATCATAACCCTCTTTTGGTAAACTGGAAGTTACAGAAACAGGTGACATCTCGTGATAAAATTTAGGTTCTTCTAGAAGATTATAATGGTTTGGGGATATAGAATTGAGTTGATGATACACTTTGTTTTCAGATTGAATATGAGAATCTTCAAACGAACTGACAGTAACCGGTTGGAGTGACTGAATATGACACATGCCACTGCTTGTTGAAATCGCACCAATTTCTAAAGACTGAACACTAGTAGGTGTACATGGATAAAAGCTTGAAGTTGAATGGACGTCACCTTGGACATTTCCACCTTGGATCATGTCGTATGAATCACTGTTCACATTGCAAGTCAGGTCTACGTGATGTGAAGACTGTTGCAACTGTTTAGGTCTATCAAATACAAACACACCGGGTAGCGGAGGCGGAGGTGGATTCATAGTTAAGATTGTATTCACTCCCTGTGTTGGGTTATCAATAAAAGCACTGTTTTCCAGTCTTTGCTTCTCTTTATTGCCATCCTTCTGGCCTGAGTCTGGGTTGTATTCACTGACATCACCAATTGTTACGTTCATTGCTCGGGAAACACCTAAAATAAAAGAAAATTTGGTAAAATAAATGTTAGATGAACGACGATAAAATTTTGTTAGCTTGAATCTGTAAGTCATTCATGCATTCAGTCATAGGCCTAGTCATTAGGCTATTCAATTAAATTATGTTATGCAAAAATTGATTTTAAATCTGCTGCCTTCATAAAGGGACAATATCTCCCCCTCCTCCCCATAATTACGTGTCCCTACCTCATTTCCTCCCCAACAAAACCTTTACTTTTCAAGCACACAATATTTTGTGTTAATGGAAGCCAAATAAAAATGGTAAAGCTTAAATTTTGGCCAATAAATTATGAATTTGAATAATTAAAGCCTACTTCTGTTATGACAAAGTATAAATATGACAAACACAGTTTTTATACCCATAAATAGTTATCTTAGCTAGGTCAATTATTTTGTTAGGTAACAGTATCATTCACACAAAAAATAAAGAACTTTAGTTAGTCTAAAAAACAAAATATAGCAAAAATAAAATCAGCAAGAAATGTTCAAACTTCATCTCTGAGCTCTTAATTAGAAAACTACCTTTTTGTGGGTTATTTGGAGGGCTACCTTTCTCCTGAAACTGTCAGTGTGGTCCTTAACACGTTCGCGGCGGCATGGGAGCGATTGCTCCCATACGGAACCCTAATGCCATCCTGGTGGGTGCGATCGCTCCCAAGCTGCAATGCAGTACGAAATGATTTTTCTTTAAGCCAGGATTAGAGCTAGAAACTTGAAACCTCGCACAGCACTGCTCAATAGTATACTGTATTTTTTGTGGTGTAGGTTGGTAGTAAATTTCCCCGTAAAATCCCCGTCTGACAATCTCAAAAATGTACTTTTTGTAATGTCTTTTTCCCTCCATTTGGCAATACAATTCCAATGGGACCGGCTACGTTCCAAGCAGTGCTGCTATCTGTTGGTGTTTAGCGATCTACGTCGACTCTTGTTGTAAAACAGGACATCCTCGTTATTTGCTATACGTCTGACCGAAATTGGAAAGCCAATCACACGCGGCAATTGGGTTTGTTCGACGCTGAGGGCCGCGCCGCACTGGGGATACGCCCGCCATTTGACGTGCCGCCGCGAACGTATTAAATAAAAAAGGTTGGAGACCCCAGGTTTGGACAGTTGTAGAACAAGTTACCGTAACTCATTGAGGTTAGACTAGTTAAAAAATTATTCAGTTAAAACTTAGCTGAAAATTGAACTAGGGGAAGCCGGGGTTCAAGGGATATACGGGGTAGTAAGAGAAATACCCCTGCCGCAGCAAACCTGCAGACTAAGCGAATTTCCATTAACCTGATTGGATTTACACTAAAATGCCTCCATAAAAATAGCACATTTATTTCCTATTTAAATAGAATTAGTTTAACGAGTACAGTACTTAGGTTTGCTGCAACAGGGAGGGTAAAAAAGATTTTTTTTATAAAATAATAATAGTTTAGTAAGAAATAAAAGTCTTTTCCAAAATCGATCAAAATATGTTTATAAACAAGCAAACTACAACAGTTGACTTACCCTCCATAAGAATAACTTGGGAATGTTTAAAATTACAATTTTTTTGAATTTTCTCCGTAACAATTAGGCGCATAATAACGCTTCAATATACTAAATTATTTGTTTTTTTAAGCTCTACAAAATGGTTTAAAAAGAAATTGTGTAATTTTTTGTTTTTAGGGTCAAAAATGGGAAAAACCAATTTTTACCCCATAAAACCCCCCATAAACCCCCGTTCCCATAGTCCGATCATGCTGGTTCGCGAACTCATTCAAGTTTATCCCGCCTTACACCTTCAAACCAAATTTTATCAAAATCGGACAAAAATTACTCAAGTTATCGTGCGGATGGACACATATATATATATCTCTATATATAGATATATAAAAATTTGAACGAATGGTGTTTTCGGCCTCTGGGGACATCAAAATGAAAAAGTAAATCGGTCCCGGGCTTAGGTCTTACCATGAGACCTACGGTAATAGCTACTTCCCTATAGGGAAATTCGCTAAAAATTATATAAACAAACCTAAATGGTCTAACTAAACTAGGTTGATAAACACATTTCATACCTATGTTTTTTTTACCCTTAGGTAGAGGTATTGTAAAATAATGAATCTTGAATCTATTTACCAGAATAAAAATCTGTAAGTTAAACATATCGATATTTAGATTTAAGTTCTCTGCGGAATTGTGCTCTAGAACTTACATCGGACCTCAATGGAAAAGATCACTGATAAGAAGACTTTCAACTTAACACAGTATATTTTAGTTTGGTTGATAAGTTAATTGTAAACTTAGCCGGTAATTATATCGATCATGGACGTTTTGCTAAAATTATATATTTTTTGCTATTTTTATGCTAAATAACGTCCTGAATTAAAAAATTATTGTCATTTTCCCCGGTAAAGCACCATTTCCCCAGAAAAGCGGAAAAACAACATTTTTGCGGAAATGGGTAATGAGGGTACCGGTACTCAAATTAACCGGTAGAATGATTTCTGATGGATATTAATGGAGATACGGCCGGAAAAGTGCCGTTTTCCCGGAAAAACGATGAACAATTATTTTATTTCAAAACACACACTTTAGGTATCTAAATTGTGCGGGATTTTACGCTGATTGCATTAGGTTATGTTATGTTAGGTTGGGTTGGGTTAGGATAGGTTAGGTTAAGTTAAGATTATATTAGGTTAGGTAAGGAATCGTAAAAGATGAATCATTTCAAAAAATCAAAGCAGACGTAATTTTTATTTGTAACAAAAACAAGTGGTAACTTACCACTGCAACAAGTGTAAAGTAAACTTTTATTCTCTAAAAAGTATAATGTCATAATAAATTCCAACAGCTGAACAGTTCTTGTGAATAGCCAATTTTTAGGTATTGCTCATGTGGCGAATCAACAAAAATTGTCGATTTCTAAATCGCATATACCTATATATATAATGTGAAAAGTACACAAACTTTGTTTTATATGTGCTCTAGAAATTCCTTGTTCGGTTTGACAATTATTTATCATTGATTTAGTAGGAACCATAGGAGAAATATTCGAATTAATGCCATGATTTGCTTTTTACATAAAAATACAACATTGCACAATCGTGATATTTTAGGTCATTGACCGATGATCTTTATTATACGCATCTGTTACTGCTGTTTCAGAAGGGAAACACGTCAATAATTAAAAATAATTTATGTTCGCATTGTTGAAAACAATTATTATCTAACCTATAAAACATTAGATAGCTCATAAATATATCAACATAAAAAAGCCATTATTCTTTCTCTTCGTTCTTGAATTATTTCTTCGGTTTCCTTCATTCATCCCAGCATTCAACAAGTTGCCATGGTTACTATACTAATCACCCCATTAGCCGATTAGCCTCATGCGGTGCATGGAACAATTATTATACTCGTATCGTAATAAAGTAAAAGTTTATTACTTCAGTGCGTTACAAGATCTATTTATCTTGTTCATTTCATGTTTACTAGTTAGTTGATGGATCAATAAATATGCATTATATGTACAAGTTTCATTTCTTTACGATAACTGTACGCCAAAATATCGATGTTGTAACTTAAGGAAAGAAGCCAAATTATGGGTCCCGCACAACGGGCTAGGTACGATACGAGACCTTGGGATCTCGTAGCGCATTGAACGTGTAAAACTAATGCACAGATGTAAGTGTTCTTTTATATATTTTTTATTTTAAAAAAATGTCTGAACAGTCTTTTTATTGGAGGTATTTTAATTAGTTTACGTACATGGAATTGACCTCAACCTTACGGCTACGGTAGCAAGTTGGCATTATTTGCACGATATTTTCGTGCCGGTGAGACACAGGCTAGTTGCCTGACTCTATCCGAGACTGGTTAGCTAAGGTAATACCATTATTGTACGGTATTTTCGTGCGGACAAAACACAGGCCGGTTGCCTGACTCCATAAGAGACATTGCAAAATTTGTCTTGACACTGGAACTGGCACAATAGTTTTGTGTCAGCAAGATTTTGGCCGGTTGCCTGACTAGCTACAGTACTAAACTGACTAGTTTTCGGATGATAACATGGTATTAACTTCGCAGTTTGCATCGCCATCATTTTATTTGGAATCATCTAGTCTAAATCTAGACTAGATTAACTGTTGTACGTGATAGTATAATATTATTGATACATGACAAGTTTCGTCTAAAGATTTAGTGTTGTCCCAAAAATAAATAAAAATCTGTAGGTCTACAAAAATTTAGGTGACAATTCAAGCAAATTCCGTGACAATAGGGGACATCGGTGACACATTACTAAAATCGGTGACTTTTCGGGGACTTCGGTGACATCCGTGACAGGTAGAGGGTGTCTACCGTGTATTACTGTCCCTACCTGTTGGACTTTTTTAAAACTACTTGCACAGCTGGATGCGGAATTGAATTCTGTGTTCAGTGATACCAATATAGCGCCTATACCCCAAAAATGTCATATAGGCGGCCTACTTCTAAGGCGAGAAATTTTATATTTTTTCCAAAAACCCACCTTTCTAAAATTGCTTTTTATTACCATTTTTGAATTCTACTGACTATTACGAACAAAATGAATACGGTTCAATACTTAGTTTATCTCTACCATCCTAATTTTATACAGATTTTTGAAAAGAACCCTTGCAAATTCACTAGAATGAGCGTTCCACTCCACAAAGGACATACTGAAAATTGGTCCCGCCACTCCTAGGGTTAAATTATATATATTTGTCAGTCCAAGTAATTTGATAACTTAAGTTAAGAGTTTAGAAACTGAAATTTCAATATTGGAATAGGGTGATAAGTTAACAAGATTTCACTCCACCTCTAGATTAAAACAGTTGAATCCTAAGTATAAAGTACTTCAACTTCTATAAAACATTAGTCCCCGGAAAAATTTTGAAAAATAATAGCTGTAAACTAGCGTTTTTATGCAATCTAGGCATAATAATTTGTAAAACATAAATTGGTTTATAATTGAGTTTTTATTATATTTAAGTTTAACCTATTTGTAAGTTCATTGAACGGAACATATCTTTACTTAGAAATCTCCTCAAAAGTGCAGCTTCACCAAGTGCACGTAAACAGCGGGAACTGAGCGAAGGACGCGAATTTAAAAATGGCGGGTCACATCACTTTTGTTTGTCTCAAACTTAAGTTTAAATTAACGGATATTTCGCTTGTAACTCACTATTAAATGTGCATTTCCGTTTGGTCATTATCTAATGCACAATTGAACAGTACAATAATCAAATCTCAAACAAACTTTCTTCGCGCCGAGTGGTAGGTAGGCTACCTGAAGCTACCTGGTACCTGAAAGCAGTAGTATGTTTTCTGTGCTAAAAGAGTTAAGGTGACTGTAAACAACTTGACAGTTTAGTTTACTGACAACAGTGACAACCTGCGTCTTTTGAGGCCGATGTAGCCTACAGAGCTTTAACACTCGCGCGGAAAAATATTGTACTAGTGCCGATCTTTGACGAGTTTAGTATAGATAGTTGAGTTCACGCGATCGAGGATCGATGAACGATGACGTGCTAATTGTAGGCTACAGTTAACCAAATAGGTTAATAGGTTGGTTTCCTTTAGTTTTCCTTAAAATTACTAACTTAACAAGTATTACACGAACTAAACATTAGTGTGGAAAGGCAAAATTTCATATTCCATATATAATATTTCAAACGCCTGACCTCCAAAGCGGGAGATTTAGGCGTCCCCCGGCTAGGGATCCCAGACGTCCTCTTTTTCCCGGACACGTCCTCTTTTTGGGTACAAAAAAAACGTCCGGGGGGATTTTTGGCAATACTTTCAAATGTCCGGGATTTTGACTTTGTGAGAAAATAAAAAAATATTTCTGCAAGTATTAATATTAGCAATCAGCTTTTATAATTAATCGTCATCATAACATTAAACTAAGTTAAAATGCTACACTTTAATAATATCTTACGTATAAAAGTGTCATTTCCTCTTTCTTTAGGCCAAATTTCGTGTATAACGTACGCTAGAATCCATTGGAAATACTGTAGAACAAAACAGAACGGAAGGCGAAACTGAATAACTCTGCTCACTAGTAGCTATGGATAAAACATACGTGTTGGTTAGTCTATGCTAGTTAGTAGCCAGTTTGCCAGGCCAGTAGCATACTAGCGACTGTCGGCCGTCGACCAGTGACTAGCTCTTCGTCTGCATGCTTACTTTACGTCACATGTTACATGCCTACTTAAAAAAATAATTATCTTACTTTTTAATTTGTCCGTGTTGATCGTCCCTAGGGCCTACCCTAATGCCGAAAAGAAAATGTGTATTTTCAGAAAAGTTTAAAGAAAAGTTTACTTGTTTTAAGCGTGGTCGACATGAACTGTTGCTTGCTGGGCAGGTATAATGCAGTCGTGTTGGGTGCTAGTTCTTAAACACTTCTTAGATAAAATAAGTTCTCTGGTTCAAAATCATGGTCTGATTTTGGACAATTTCTGTTTAGCATGCACATTGGCACCAGGGTGTTTTTGTAAATCAACCAAACATGCTTGAATGTGTTGTAATGTTGCGGTATTCCTTTGATAAGAAAACCACAAGTCTCAATAAAAAAAAAACATGACATTATACAAGTACAAGTTTATTTTTTAAAATTTCTTGACCTTAAAAAATAAACTGGGAAGCTTGAACACATTAAACTAGGTCCTCAAAATAGCTTAAAAAGTACTAATTTTAGCACGTTATTTCCAAATTTTTCCCGGGGGGAACCCCCGAACCCCCTTCTTTGCTGGAGGGTATTACATACCCCCCAGGCCCCCCGGTGACCCCCCCCAAATATATGTCTAGGAGCACCCTTGGTGAGTAATTTTGTCCTCTTTTTTGATGGAGGGTCCCTGGGAACCCTAACCCCGGCCGATTGTGGGGACAGCGGGACACCTTGTTGTAAAGCGGGACGTAGCATGAACATAGTTAGATAGGCCTACATCATCTTATTATGAACAGTTTCTGAGGCTGCTTGCGTAGGGTGAGTGCACCAGTGAATGACCACCCCCCAGTGAATGACCGTTTTGTATAAAAAACCTCATATCAGGCTTTCTGTATTTCCTAGTCCATTACAAACGTGTTTAAAAGTAACTTTGGGGCCTTATTAAAATTCACTCTGTGACTGATTCAAAAAGAAAGTGTCAATCATCCTTTTGTAACATAAACAAAATTAGATGTTTCAAGCAGTTCGTTTCTAAGCTTTCCACTATGGCGTCTCGCACAAACATGGTTGGTTGTAATTTGTCGTGGTTCCTTAATTATTGATTGGAATTGTAATATATTACATGTAATTCACAGTTAACATGTTAAGGTACAATTCTGTACTCATTTTAAGATAAAAATCCAAACCAATTGTATATTTAAACTGCCGGTCAATTACTGGTTCACAAATTAGGGTATAACCAGTGAATGACCGTTTCGGTTAATTGACCGATTTGGGTTTATTTTCTTTATTGATATTGATTACAATTTTTTTTTGATCGAGTAAGCCATCGCTAAGAAACAAAAATCCTGGTTAGAAATTATGTGGATACGCTATAACCAAAGTTTGAATGCGAGTTAAATCTTACGATCATTTCCTAGATAAAAAGTGATCTTTCACTAGAACCTATATTTTAATGACCCTGATATCGTTATTTTTCACTACAGGGTTTTCAGCTTCCATGCGAAAATCTCGAACGGGGGTTATTCGGTGAAAAGGAGGAGGTTTAATACAATTTTAAAATTGTTATGTAATATGCGGTCATTCACTGGTGCGGTGATTTATGTGCAAAAAATTGTATTTTAGATACTTTTTTTGAACATAATACATTAAGTAGTATCATCGGGAAGTACAGGGAAATATGGGAAATATATTTAAACGATTTCGTACAATGTAGCTTAGTAGTATATTTTCCCATGTCGTTTACAAGTAGAAAGTCAACCTTAAACGGTCGTTCACTGGTGCACTCACCCTAGTTTGAGGTTTTTAGATAACTTAAGTGTAGCCTAGCCTAGCCTATGCCTATAATTTATTGAGAATTTGTATTAAGTTGAGACCCCGGGCAGTAAATTAAGTTATCAAGACGCTGGTTAAATTAGGCTAAACCTTTAATTCAATTAGTAACACATCTTTAACCTTGTTAACGTATTAGCGGTATTAGGTAACTATCTGCTTATGTTTCGGAACATACATACAGACGTCCGGCCATTCAACGCAGAAAGTTGTAAAACAAAAACAATACTGTAGCACCTAAGCTTATCAAGGTCATGTTAATTTGAGGTTACAATAATTACACTCTCACCTTGTACATTATCAATAAAACTCAAGGACGAGAGTTAGCCGATTTTAACAAAATTTCTATATTCACTTGATATGTTGTTATTAGACACCAAACTAAACACGGAACGGAAACATCAAAACACTTCGGCCATTATTATCATTCATTCAATCCATTCCAAAACAAACCCATCACACCAAATCCACTTTCTCATTCTCACTGCACAGCCTTCAAGATCAAGGATAGGATGATCTTTTTTGGATCACGCCCTACAAACAACAGACGCTACGGCTAACAGCTGATTACTACGATAACTTTGTAGCCAATCAAATAAAAGAGCGCAATTGATTCTTATAAATTGAATTTGTGTTATTGATTTTTGTATAACTACAATAAATTATCTCCATTAAACAAAATGTAGCTGAGGGTTCTCTTGAATAAAAATAATATATTTGGGTTTTGGGTTTAAACACAATAAAAAAATAACTAACCTAAACCACAGCCTAAACTAAAATACAAAACTTTTGTAGACTTAAAATTTTATTTTTGAAATTAACAGAAAGAATAGAATCATTATAATCAACAATGATTACAATTGTATGATCAAAGAATATAATTTAGCTTTAAACACTGAGTTTTAAAAGACTTTGAGCTGTGGGAGGAATTTCAAAGATGTAAGTCTTTGGTATTGATTTTTCAGATGCAGTCTCTAAAGCTGATAAAAGAAATACAAAATATTATCACTGAGATGGGATTTTTAAACAAGGAGATGGGTTAATTTAGAAAAATCTAAAGTCTCACTTTACAAAATATTTATTTTTGCCCTGGTTATATTGTAACAAGAGTAAATTTGACCCTAGTTGTGGGCACTTTACTGATTGTGCTTGCTGGACTGCTGGTGCCCCTGCTCAATGCCTAGATTTTTATTTTGTGTAGGTGAAGTAATTGTTATGAAGCTATTCAGATGACTTCCTCTTTTTATGAAGACTGTGGACTCCCTTCTATAACATAGTTTTATACTATAACTAACATTACTTTATCAATTATATTTAACTTATCACCCATTGTAGAAGTTAATGCTCTTACTAACCAAATGTTATAGTGGTGGAGGTTACATTTTACAATTTTCTACATGCATTTAAAATTATTAGATTTTAACAACCCTAATCTTGTTGATAAAAATGCCTAAAAAGATAGGATTCAATGTGATCTATGCTACAGGTAAAGCAATTTTATTATATTTATGATACAGTAGGCATATTTAGCTCAGATGTATAAGTATAATGTATAATGTTTGATATATTTTATTAATTAAATTTGGTCAATAAATTATTGTATTACTGTATTGCAGAGCATGTCTTGTCCATTTCAAGTTTGACTGCAGTAACCAGAATATATTAAAAAATGATTTATTGGCTAGGTCTAATTTATCTTACTGAGTTTTTCATGAGTCGGACGGACTAAAACATTTTCTGTTTCTTTGACTTACAGCAGAAACCACACATAAATACAAAATAATTCCCCACATTCATTTGTATGCAAGCAAATTTCAACTTGATACATTGATAGAAAAATGTTAAGATATTAAAACTTCAAATATTTTTAAAACAAATTGCTTTGGGTATGTGCACGATTAAGTTACTGTTGTCTTTTTATAAATATGGCCTAGAGTTACAGTACCTAAGTTATTCAAGCATTTCAAGTGTGTTGGCATGTTAATTTGCAAAATTACACACATGCAAACATTTAATTTGTTAACATGCAAAAGTTAATTTATAAAGTTTAAGATTTAATTTCAAAGTGATTTTTAAATGCACAAAAACAATTTTCTTTTTCTTGATAAGAAAAACATAAGAAATTTAAAAATATATTTTTTTTAATTTTTTCTGTAACCTGTACTTGTGGGCTACAACAATAGGTACCTCAGAATACAAAATTATTTGTTTGTTTTTAAGTTCTACATTATAGCTGTGATAAAGAATGGGCATTTTCATTTTTAAGGGTGAAACTGAAAAAAATAATTCTATACCGGTAACACTTTGACCCACCACCCGATCTTGCTGGTTTGTGAACTCAATCAAGTTTATCTAGCCCTTCACATTGATGCCAAAATTCATCAAAATCGGACCAAACTCCAGTTACTGTGTTCATAGACTACATGTATAAAAATTTTAACAAATAGTGTTGGGTAAAGTCATGAAGAAAGTATAGGCCTACTTCCATAGTCTTTCATCATAAGACTCATTGTCTTCTTGGTTGAACAGTGTTGTAGAGCTGTAATACAATAATTAATGTCAACATTTCAGAGATCCGGAGGTAAAAATTTACAATTCAGTTTGAACAAAACATATGTTGCAATCCACCCTCAAAACTAGTCACCAGTAAACCTAGAATTGACATAAATCCAGAGTTCACAACTTAATTTACCGTAGGAAACTGCAATGTCTCCAAAACATTATGGCATTCAAATACAGCTCAAGCGACACTCCAATGCCGTTGATAAGAAGAATCAGGCCTATCTCGATTGAAGAACTATCTCCACAGAATGATGATTTTAGTAACTCATCCATGTATTTTTACAATTGCAAACTAACGATGAATAATTCTATCATACTATGTTTCAGGAGAGGATGAAAAATACAAAGCGTGTGAGTTGGACAGACACGGGCCAGCCATCCGAGGGTGGCAGTCTGCCAAGGATTGCTCCTTCCCCCAGGAAGTGGTTTTGAGGCTACACTCTACAGCTATCCTGCATCAAATACAGATATTGGCACATCAGTACCTAATCTGTGAGTCTCTGACCAACCCATTAATGTAGGGATCTTTAAAAGATTTCTATATAAATTTAATATTTTAGTTTGTATTTTTTCATTTTATTATCCTCAAAACCTATGTGAATAGAAACAATGTGTGTTGTGTGCAGTCCCCCCCCCATTTTTCTTTTCCATCAAAGAACACCCCACAACATAAAGCTTTCTGGGCCTGGGCCCACCAAGACACATTTATGAAAGTGGTCCTGCAGTAGATACATTTCTCTTTTGCCAGTGTATTGTGAAGGTGAACACTAACACGTTTCAGGGAAAATGTTACAAACTCATCCTCGCTGATTTGAATCCATCTCCTCTCCACAACTAAATTATTCTCTTATGTTTCATGTTGGGTACTGGGAAAATGGAGAAATGGTTATATTTAATTTGTTGTCATTCAAACATCCAACCCAATTAGCCATTAACAAAAGAGGTCAAAGTAAGAAGACAAGGGTTTTAACCATTCCCTAACAACAAAAATACACAAGCAAAAAATGTGAGCAAACAAGCTTTACTTTTGACTTCTGCAATCCACTTTTATTTTTTATGCTTTTGCAGCTGAGAGAATCGACCTTCTAGTTGGTCCAGAAGATTGCACAGATGAGATTTCAGGTGAAGACGCCAACAACTTGCATTTCGAGTACCTCGGCTACATCACACTCAGTGACAATCAGTCTACAGAGTTCAAGAGTCGAGAACTCAAATCCATCACTGTTCCGCCCTTCAGCCCAACGTCTTATGTCAAACTAAGACTTTACCAGAACCATCAAAACAGCCTCAATGTATTCAATCAGGTTAGATAGTCAAACTATTGTTGCATGGAACTCACACTAAAGCTGGGAATTTATCAATTAGTCAAAACATTATTTGTTAACATAAAGATTCTTTGACTACCTTGAATTGTGATATAATCACTAACAGACAAATTGACGATGTTTAGGTGAGTATAGTAGCAGTACAGCTGATTGGGGAGGAAGCGGTGAGAGGCGAGGAAAACAACAATGGACATGGTGCGACCTTGGGTTCAACCTGCGATGACCTCGCGTTTGAGATGTACGTTGATAAAGATGTTGCCCGCATCATCCGACTGCTGGAGAAGAGGAAACACCAGGCTGTACAAGGTGATTGTAAACTTACTGTTGTTGGAAAATATGTTTTGAAAAAGCGGAATAAAATGTTTTCCAAACCAATACAAATCACTAAAAAGTAGCAGATTGAATGAAACGTGAAACTGTTAGGACATCCTGTCTAGAAATAGGGAGAAATTACTTTGTTGGGCAACTACCTGTAAAAATTTCATACAATCAAATATCAGATTGCATTTTTGAAAATAAATTGTTGGTTAACCTGAAATATAGGCCTACTATAAAAAGCTACTGGAAAGAGCTACAATTAATATACATAGAATAGTTGTAAGAAAAATTTGAAAAATGTTGATTTGGAAGAGATCTTTATTTTCAAGAATCTGTTTAAAAAAGATACCTTAAAAATTTAACCCATCTCTTCTGTAATAGTAAGATTTAGTTTCAAACTGAAAAAGAAATTAAAATATAATTTGAGGGTATTTTATCTTTGCCAGATGAAAGGTTCGAGTACGCTCGCAAGTTGAAGTCAGCAATGGTGGAGCTGAGAGCGGCCGGTGAAAGGCTAGGAAAACTGGAAATCAGCAAAAAACAAGCGATCATGCACGAGGACTACACCAAAGCGAAGAAGAAGAAGTCGCAAATGGATGAGTACAGGAAGGAGGTTTACGCTTTGTTGGAAGTGGACGAACTACTTGAAGAGAACGGAGTGAGTAGAAACTCTATGTAGAGTAGAAACTTTGTTGTTTGAACTCCTGCTGTAACACTTTAAATCACGTAAAAGAATTAAAATTTGTTCTTTTTGTCAACAGCTTTTGGCTTCAACTATAAAACTTTATCTTCATCTGGTCCATATAGAAGGGATTCTACTTCAGGGCCGAAAATTTCATTGATTGGAATTAATGTATTTTATACCACGTTTGATTAGATTACATGCAACAGTCCTAATTAAGTGAACTTTCTGATTGGTGATATTTTAATAAATAAGTTTAGAAACTGGGAATCTGTATACAGATCATGTATTTACACATTAAAGGTTATAACCTTTAGCTAATATAAACAGGTGATCGATAAGCACATTTTTATACTTGGTTTCAAGAATGCAACAGTTTCACACAGATCAAATAAATATTTTCCCAGCCGCTGGCCAAGAACGACGAGGAGTCTCCTGATGCCGACAACGGTACAAGTACAACAACATTGAGTGAGAATGAGGCAGTGGGGCCAGTAACAGCCCCA